TAAAAAAAATAAATATTTTAATTATTAATATAATATAAACTATTTATATTTATTTAAACTTATATTTAATATAGAATAATATTTATTTATTAGGGTATAACCTTAATTAATCTAGTCTAATTAGGTAATAATAAATAGGCCTTAGCTATATAGTTATTAGGGGTTTATATGCGGTTACCCTGTGGTCGACGTTAGGTAGTTGCTGTTTTGGGGTCCGAGGTCGCGGAGTTGCGAGGTGCTACCCGCGAGCCTGCTGGATGACACAGCCCAAATGTGGTATGGGGTACCCAAGTCTGGGGTTCAGCATGCCTGGCAGTTTCTGGAACCTAATCCCGAGCAGCTGGCTTGGTCCTGGTTGACAATGGTGTAGGAAATGCCCATGGTTAGACGACTGACGTAGGATGCCCAAGCCATGACGGGAGACTGGCTTGCTTTGGTAGCGAGCCTCAACGTCAGGGATTCCGGGCTGGCAATAATGGCAGCGTAGAAGATGATGGTGCTGTGTCTGGCGACGGGAATGCCGCAGTATGGATACATCTATGTACGGACACCTTATTCATAAGTTGAAACAATGAAGCAGATGCTGTACTCGGGAAGATCGGTCATCCATGTTGTAAAAGAACGATGCACCAAACGCATTCCCGGTGCATGGGGCCTTGGACCGGACACTCACGCCGTTTCCCATTTAAAACCCAGTGTCTGTCATTGGAACAAGTGAGTTATAGCACTGGAGATCTACTGAATAATACTAATAAATCTACCCCCTCCCATCGAGTTCACAGTCCACCATGCGAATGGGTTTCCAGAATTGGGAATTCACCCTACTTAGCTACTTAGGGTGCCGCGAGCTTTGTGAGTGTACTGGCCGCCTTGATCCGATGGGACATGGCGATCGAATCGATAACTATGGAATTAGAGTTGGTGGCACCCAAGCGGTATATTAGGTGTATAAGAAGAACACGGGTGGTAGAGGCGGGCGGTTGAAAGAGACGAATGAATTCGTCTTCTCTTCTTCGAGGCGGCGCATTCTCAAGTCAAGCAATCCTCCTGTCGATCGTAGACATCATGGTCGTTGAAACAAATAGTTGCCCTGTGGGCATGAGACAAAGGTGCTGTTTTCTCGGTTAGATGTAGAATGGCTAAAAGGACCCTGTGATGTCATGGAAAGGGAACAAGTGCAATGTTAGTTTTGTCGTCGGCGAATATGGAACTGTCCGATCCGGGCTAAAGAAAAAGCTAGCATGGGTTATTCCTTGGTCCATCGCATGGCCACTTCGGGTGAGGAGAGTTGCGATCGGGCAAGCGCTTCTTGCCGCGACGAATGTTGTCATCTGGAATTACCCCGGATCATGTACGTCAGTGGGAGAACCCTAGCTCCCGAGTTTGAGTTTCGGGCGCAGCCCTCCTATCCAGACGCTAGGAAAGGAAAAAAAAAAGCGCGGTGATGAGGAGCAGACAAAGGCCAAAGTGATGGGTCCCTTTTCAGCAATCGCATTGCAACCAATTGTCTGCTTGTGGGGAGTCCGAAAGTCAGGTGAGATGTTGTTTGTGTGTAGATGTGACACGAGCATAGCACAAAGAGGTCCTCGTGTAGCCAGCGCGGCCAATGGCAGACGCTGGAGTAAAGCTCATTTATTCTTTGTATAACTTGGGCGTCGCCAATGGAGTTTTCCTTTGGCTCAAAGCCAACGTTAGTTGGGCGCGCTTTTGTCAAATGGGCTGGGATTGGGGCACGTATACTGTGTGTCGCCGGAGACGAACTGGCCAAGATTGTCGACGAGCATTCAACTGATTGGCGGCCGCGGTGAAGATTGTGGAATATTTCGAGCGCGCTGCGCAGCACTGCCAAGCACAGACATGGAGACGCCGAGGAGGGGAGGGAACCTTTTGGGATTGGCGGGCGGCCGCCCGCTATCAACGGCGCTGGCTGCCAACGCGTGGGTGGGGGTTTGACGAAGTATCTGGAAACTCTATGCAAAACCTATGCGGCAAGGCCGCGTGGTGATGAGTAGTCCAACTGCGTCGTCAGAGTTGACGGGTTGTAGCAGGTTGCGCCAACTAGGTATGGACTTGCATGGGCCAAGTGCAACGCATACAAGTCGAGCGCCATTTCTCTGTGTTTCAAGTGCGGCGTTTTCGGCCATTCTTTCTGTTTCGTTCATTCTCGGCTCCCACTCATCACACAGACGGAGTTGACTTGCGCAGGCAAGAGGGGGCGAATGTCATTATCCATGTACAGGACCGGGTGTTCCGGGCGGATCGCCAAGGGCGCAGCAGCGCAGGGCCTTTCAGGCGATGACAGTCAGCGAAAGCTGAGCGTGCGCAATTGCCCGCAGAAAGACTCTTTTTTGGTCCTGTTTTCTTGAGTAAGCACATCTGGCCATCTGTGCCAGGTTGAGGCGCATTGCATGCTGCAGGTGGCGGCATGACCTTAGTGGGCGCGGGTGATGGACGGCGGCGTCGGTCGAGGCATGTAGATGCCTTTTGTGGCTGCGGGATACTGAACGTAGAAATGACCTGATAGAGATACGTCGTCAAGTCGTCAACACACACGGACAAGGCGACGCGAGGCTTCGAGGTTCAGCTTGGCCCTGCCAGGAGCGGAGAGGAGCGTGGTTGTGGCTTGAAAAAGCGGCCAATAGGAGGGACAAAACTAGACGTACGAGGGCTGGTGGCGGTGCGTGGTTAGCTAGTAGGTATCGTAACTAGCTAGAGAGTCTATTTGCTGATAACTCGAATCGTGGGCCATGATGGTGAGATGGAGCGTGACGAGATTGCCTGTTCCTGTTCGTACGCAGGGAGTCAACGGGATGGACATGGTTGCCGGGGATGTGACTGTAGAGCACGGCGGGAGCATTTTTTTTCTTCTCTTCTTTCAATGACGCGGCACAAACAAGAAAGTGTTTCAACGTCGAGCAGATGATTGCACCTGATGTTGGACAAATGTGTTTGTGTGTGCGTGTGCGTGTGCTGTGGACGCCTGTGGGAGGGTGGGAGGAGAGAAGCGGGGGAGCTGGCAAACGCTGGTGGCTGCACCATGGCGGCGCAGCCTTTGTGTATGTACCTACTACGTAGCGGGTAACTATTGAAGTTTGGTGGGCGGAGGCCTTTCTATTCCTAGGATGGAGCCCAGTTATGAGTTTTGTTTAATGAGGTAAAAGTTGGGATTTACGCGACGAACTGTGAAAGCGACGCGACTACTTAATTATTACAGACGCGACAACGGTAAGGAAATGACACTGTGAGATGAATAGTGGGATAGCGGCCGGGGAGCGGGATTGGAGACAAGGGGAGATGGGAAATGAATAATAAGAGTATGTATGATTTGCACAACGACGCAATACAGCCCCTCGTCGACGTAGCTAATTATTGATGATTTGATAAGAGGCTGAGATGTCAAAGTTACAGCTTGCAGGCTACGCTACTATGCTAGGCAGACAATAGCGCCACGAACAATGCCACCACTACCTAATAATAATATCTAGCACGATTGGCTAGACGGGTGAGCCCCGCGCGTGTTTGTGCATTGCCAACAAGAGGCAAGTCGTAATCAAGTCACGAGTTTGGCATCGTGGGCATCGTGGGCATCGTGTCCGAGGCATCCGTACCATCTGTACCATGTCTTGGCTGTAGTACAGGGGACTGCAAATTGGCAAATGGCACACCCATGGCCGAGGCAAAAAGGCTAGGGATATTCCGTGCAAAGTCTCGGTAGCGTATCCATTCTTCAAAGGACTGATGGGTAAGTTTAGGGCCTTTTTTTGCTGGTGTTTATTTCGCTCCCGCTAAAAGGCAGGCCGTGGGCTTACAGGTAGGTAGGTACAGGTACTGATAATATTCGTAGGTGAGTAAGTTAGTACCCCTCCTGTAAAATGGGTTGCTTCTTAGTGCCTGCCATACCCTGTATCACCAAGTCCCCGCCTCAAACCCCAGGCGGTCGCGCATCCGCCCCTCTTTGTTTTAATCTTTTTGAATCTTTTCCCAGTAGCCTCTAATAGGCTCTAGGTTGTCTCTCAGCCCGCCGCCTACCAACTCCTGAGCTTATTCTCTTTATTGTATTTTATTTTCGTCATCTCTCTTCATTTCCTCCTCTCCCTCCTTCATTCCTATCCTCCGCCATTCTCCCATTCTCCTCCCATATCTACCTACTCCCGCTGTACGGAGTACATGTCGCGACTCGACGCTTGCTTTTGCACAACATTTCGCTTCACTCACCGTTTCTGCAGTGACCTGCCATCGAGCTAGCCAGGTACCTACCACTCGACCCTGCACGCCGCTGCAACCACACCGCATCACCTACCTGCGACAAACAACAACGCTTGTCTCCCACCCTCCTCCCGCCAGCTTCTTCGCTTGCTTCGGCTGGCCGCTTGTTTATCTTGTTCTTTATAAATACTCTCTGCTTTTCTTGTTTGCCAGAGTATTTTTTTTCCCCCGTCGACTATCAACCCACTCTTGTCATGGAATCTCGCTAGACTCGCTCTTTGACAGACGAGACGCTCCTCCTCTTGCTGCTGCCGGCCTGCCTGGCATCATCACCACCAGTAGCCTCGGCGGCGTCCTGGTAGCAGCAGCACCACCACCACCGATACCACCACCACGACGCAGATCACCGCCTTTCCCGCCATGGCCTCGCTTCCCCAGCAAAGAGCCGCCACTCGCTTGTCCCACGAGTCGTCGCGTTCCAAAATCCGTGGCCGTACCATTGTCAAGCCCATCCTTAAAAAGCTCAACTCCCACTCCACATCCGACAGAGGCTCCTTCGATCTCGATCCCGGCTGGGACGACCTACCTTCTCCCTCTGCTGACCACGACTTCCTCTACTCTGATGCCACGCCTGCACCCCATGGAGACCTGTTTCGACCCCGCGACGTGAGCTTCTCGACTGCTGCATCCCTCGAGTATTCTACCAGTACTTGGCGATCCAAAAACAAGTACTCCCACATGCGTTCAACTAGTGGTACCTCGCACACCTCGTCCATTGCCACAAACGTCAGTGCCCGCAACGGAACATTTGTTCACCCTTGCCAGCAGACTCCCATGACCGCCACGCCTTCTCTGTCCTATGCCAATTCCATTGCTTCCCTCGACCTCTCCGCACCTGGCCCCCGCGAGTATGCCTCCACCATCACCGAGGACGACGACCTCATCTCCCCAACCACCACAACCGTCCCACGCGCCGCCACTCCCACCGCTCCCACAATTACCATCCATGCCCTCAACTCGCGCCTCCGGGGACCTTCGCTCGACGAATCTCAACACACCCTCGCCCTTACCGACCGCTACCTGTCGAGGCCAGCCCTTACCTCGCGCTCCAACTCGGCCACCACGGCCATGTACGTCCCCGCTCCATCCTCCTCCGAGTTTGCCATGTCCTCGACACCTCCTCTCCTCATGGCCCCCATCTCCACCTCCATGTCGTCCTCGGGAACCCCTACCTCGTCCTCTCCCCTGTCCCCTCTGCGCAACTCTCTTGACCTCAGCGGCTTCCGTCTGCGCTCTCGCAGCGAGGTCGACACCCGAACCCACCAAGAGCAAGTCCGTGCCGCCCGTCGCCAGTTCCAGGAGAAGGAAAAGGCCAAGGATGAAAAGTATGCCCGCAAGCAGCTGCGCCGCCGCGAGCGTACCGACAACAGCCGTGAACGCGCCAAGATCCGCAAGGGCACCAACTCTACCTCGACTGCCAAGTCCTCCGCCACTAGTATTCGTTGTTCTGCCAGCTACGTCAACGACGACTGCTGTCAAGATCACGAGCCCGACTTTGCAAACACCGGTGCCTATGACCATGCTGCTGCCGGTCAGGCCCCCGCCAGGGCCGATGAAGTCCAGTTCCAACGACCCCCACGTCGCAAGTCGGCCAAGCATAAGACCAATGGCGCCTGGACGACCTTTGTGCTCTGGCTCAGAACCCGTTTACTTAGACTGGGCAAGCACTAGGAAGCGCCCATTCCGAGACATCCACTCTTATTCCGACATTATGACATGAACCCATCAACTACACCATTTACCCACACCTCCCGCATCGTCGCCAAGAAGCGCTTCATGGCTATCAACAACACTGCACATCTGCTATAGAAGCGTGAAGGGCCACTTCTCGTCGTCTCCAAGCAATCTGCACGATACATAACAGAACCTCGACGGGCTTCTCCCACTTGTTCCAATGGTTCTACTTGAAAGGGGGCCGAAAAAGACGACTGGAATGTCTCTTTGACCCTCTACTATACATTTACTTTCTATGCATTCTAGTCTGATTCAGCGTTGCAAGTTTTCTTTTTTTTCTTTTTTTTTCTTAAAAGGCGTCCATATTTTGTACCCTTGGTTGTTTTTTTGGTCGATACCAGCTTGGCGTTTATCACGGATGGGTGCGTTTTTGGGTTGGCTTTTTGCGACGTGGAGGCTTGGATGGGCACTCACATGCAAATGCTTCGACATGGAGTTGTATCACGGGGTTTTTAGGATTTCAAACAAACAAGGGATAAATACAGCTACAAGATGATGATTACCTACAATGACCATTTTCTTCCCGCCACGTGAGAGACTGTTATTTTAATGCCCTCTATTGCATTTCTCCGAGTGTCACGTAAAAGACTTGTCATTTTGATTGCCGACACTGACTGCACTTCTCTGTTTGCCACGCGGAAAACTGCCATTTTTATACTGCGCTATTGAAACGATACAACACGCCCTTATATCTTGGGGCGCACATCAAGGTTGGACCACCAAGGCCAACCAAACGGCCGCTGGTTCTCCATCGTGCCCGTAAACTTGGGCGGCCTCTTCTGCAAAAAGCTCTGGACGCCCTCGGCCGAGTCGGTGTCGGGGCACGTGAGGCTGTAAAATATCTTGCTCTCGAGCAGGTGCGCCTCCTCGGGCGACTTGGGCCCGGAGTACATCATGTCCTTCATGACCTGCGTGGAGACGATGCTGCAGTTTTGCGCCATGCCCTCTGCAATCTTGAGCGCGGTGGGCAGCACATCCTCGGGCTCGACGACCTCGCTAAAGAGGTCGTCAAAGAGGCGGTGCGTGGCCGGGTAGACGGCGCCGGTGCTGACGAGGTGCATGGCCTTGGCGGTGCCGATGAGGCGCGGCAGGAAGAAGCTGCTGCAGGCCTCCATGCAGAAGCCGCGCTGCGCAAAGACGAAGCCGCACTTGGCCTTGGTGCTGGCGACGCGCACCGTGGCCGGCAGCGTCATGGTCATGCCGATGCCGACGGCCGCGCCGTTGACCGCCGCCACAATCGGCTTCTGACACCGGTGCATGGCAATCGACACGGTGCCGCCCGAGTCGCGGTACTGCAGCGGGTCCTCGACGCGCTGCGCGCGCACGTTGAAGTCCATGCCCGCGCAAAAGAACTTGTTGCTCGCGTCGGCCGACGTGAGCACAATGGCCCGCACCCGCGGGTCCGCGGACAGGAGCCCGTACGCCGTCACCAGCGACGCGCCCATGGTGTCGGTGTACGCGTGGCGCGACTCGGGACGGTTCAGGCGCACAATGATGACGGGCGTCACCGTGGCCGACGACGCGGGGTGGTGCGAGAGCGAGATGTCGGGCAGCGCCAGCGTGCTGTAGCTGTCAGGGAAGGAGGGCGCCATGGTTGCGAGGTAGGTGTTTTGGCGGTTGCTTGGTTAGATGGTGCGGCGGATACTGCGAGGGGGGGGGGATAAGAGGTTGTAAGGGGGAGAAGAAGAGTTGTAGACCTGTAGCCTGGATATATATGGTTTGCCATGAGGTTGGTAGGATGCGGAGCTTTAGCATCCGGGAGCTCGCCAGTGCCGAGGTTCGGCACGGGTCATGCGCTGCAGCCATTGGGCGGCATGATTGACATCTCTTCCGTGACTACTTGGAACTGCATTTGATTGTATTTCTAGGACAGCTTGAATCATGGAAATTCCAAAAAAAGACATGACCAATTATAGTCCTTGTCGCACAATTGCCGTGTTCTTCCATCCGCATTATCCAGGTATAAGTGTACAGTGTCCATCTACAGTGATATTATTTGAGCACACTGTACGTGGCAAGCGACAGCAACCCGCTTGTCCACATTGGAAAGCTCCACCAGCTGAACAACACCCCAATAAACGTGCCATCTCATGGTGGCGATGCAACTTGCCCTGTATCACGGTATATGATTGGGACGCGGGCCAAGAAGTATGTTATCAGCTGTACATCCAAGAGCGCTGGTTCCTCAAGGACATCACGGTCCATATGAAGACCGTCCACGAGTTTTGCCCGAGGTGAGTGACCACACACACGCCGAGAAGCACGCAGTCTACTCAATAAGGAGGGAAATGGCATACAAACTGTCATAAAACGTTTTCACGGTGCTCTTGAGCTCCCAAGTCATTTGTACGAGGTTGGATAAGCTAGGCTTTGAATGTCCGGATCTTTCCTTGGGTTTCGGCATTGATATTAAAACATGATGAATATCTCACGTAGATACGCTTTGGATAGGATAATCATGGCACGAATGCCACCCCCTATTTTGGAAGATACATGTTGGTAAGATCTAATGTGAACCACGGGTCAAACGTGTGCGCTCGACCCATAACCCCAGCGGCACCAACATCCCCAGTATAATGTCTTGCCAGGATTCGCTTTGAAAATCATCGCTTGGTTGTCCACCGGTGAATTGTACACTTCCCCGTCGTCATCCTAGTACTCCTTCTCGATGCCCTGGTACTTCCACTTGGCCGGATCAAAGACTACGTCAAACTCGGTACCCTCAAACGAGCCGACGGCGGCGCACAAGTCGTGGAAGCCCTCCAGGCCCGTGACGGGCAGGTCCTCCTGGGCGTCCGTCTCCTCGTGCAGGTTCCAGCCGCCGGTCTCGACGCCGTTGCGCGTCAAAAAGATTTGCACGTGCACCCGGTGCGCCGCCTCGCGCGAGGGCGACATCTTCAACCCGATCCCGTACGTCTCGCCGCGGCGAAACACGGCCGTAAAGTCCTTGCCGCCCCAGCGGTCGTTGATGTACTTGTGGCCGTCGTCGCCGTGCACGGCCAGCGACCCGCGGTGCCAGCCCGGCAGGCGGAAGCCCGGGTACGGCAGCGCGGTAAAGCCCAGCGCCACGTTGACCGAGGGGCTGCTCTGGCGAATCGTCACCTCGTAGTACGCCGTCGTCGGCCGGCCCGTGCTCGTCGGGTCGTGCTGCGACACCACGTACAGCGGCGGGTAGCTGATGAGCGTGCGGTCCTGCGCGTTGCGCCCGGTCGTCACCGCCCAGGCACCCGGCCCCTGCCAGGTCAGGCGCCCGTCGAAGCCCGCGGGCTCGACGAGGCGGAAGTTGCGGTGCGCGAGGGCCTCGGCGCCGGCTGCGTCCAGCTGCATGGGATGGGAGAGGGGGTACTGCGCGCACCAGGCCTCGCCGGCCTCGGCCTCGGCCTCGGTGGCATTGTTCGCAGGGGAGCGCTCGTAGCCGCTAAAGATGGCCGGCGGCGGCGGGAACAGCGACGTGTCCGGCACGGCCGCCTCCCAGTTGTGCTGCTGCTGCGAGGGGCCGCCGTCTTGCGGCGGCGCTATCCAGGCGGTGTTGTCGCGGCCCTTGGACGGCGGGGGGCCGGGCGGTGGTGCGTACTCGTCCTGCGCCGGGTGCTGCGGCTTGTGCGACGGTGGGGGCCCGGAAGGGGGAGCAAAGCTGTCTTGCGGCTGCTGCTGGCTGTGAGATGGCGGGGGGCCGGGAGGCGGAGCGTACTGCTGTGATCCTGGTGCCGACAGGCCCGCGGCGGTGTTGCCGGATCCGTTCAGGTCGGGGCGATTGTTGTAGGGTCTGTTGCTCGCAAAGCTGCTCCTCTTGTTGTCGCCGGCGTTGCTCTGACTCTGGTAATTTTGGGCAGGTCGCGGTGGGGGATCGTCAGATCTCTCATTCTTTCCTCCGAAACACATGATGGCGTTTGAAGCTGCAGTGTCGGCTTCTGGTTCAGTTGTGGTGAGGCTGGAAGTGTCAACTTGGAGTGTTGATGGAGGGGACGGTGTGCTTCTTAAACATCAGCGTAGCGGGAGGAGGGAGGAGGGGGATATGCAAAGAAAGGTAAAATAAGTTGCCTTGTCGCCCCGTCGCCTGGTTGATGTACAAATGTAAGTTGGTCTGATGGATGACAGGTTACCTAGCGTTGGGGCTGAGCCTCCAAGGCCACCAAGCTGGCGCCTGGTTGTGTGGCGGAGCTCAATTCGCGGGGCAGCCAAATAGGCGGCAATGACATGTATATAGGTAATCATCAATCACACGTGGCGCAGCCACCTCCAAACTAATATGTACTACATAGGTAGGTAGCCTTAGAATGATACCCCCTAGCCGGACGTCTCTCTGTCCACATGATAAAAAAAAAAGGTCTTTACTAGGTACATGACTTAGGTGTGATTTATACAGAAATAGAAGTACATTTAAAATCACATATTTTTTACTAAAACGCTAACGTATACTGCCTACCTAGATAAGCCTCGTAATAGTTAGAAGGAAGTGGCGGTGCGTTCTTCACTAACACGATAAGTTGGCGACTTAGTAATTTGAGCAGTCTATTAAAGAGAATTAAGGCAATAAGTCACAAGGCGCCAGCGTATAGTTATTGATAGATTCAAGCTATGTGTATTGTTAATCTATGCATAACAAAACGAAACAAGATAAAGAGTGGTCTCCATACTTTCGCAGGAAATAAGAAGGAAAATTGATTCAAGGAGTGGTATTCATCGTCTCACCCGATGGTGCCATCTCTGCTTAGCTTCCCCAGCTGCTCGCTTCCGAAGGGCTGGGGTAGAAGAAGGCCACGACAGCGATGATCACGTAGACGGCACAGAGCAGCGCTCCTTCGAGGTAGTTGCTGCGTCCGTCCAAGACGAGAAAATTGACGATGAATGTCGAGACAAAGAGACAAACTGTCTCAAACAATGTAAAGTAGAGCGTCATTTCGCGATCCATGATCCAACCCAAAATGACAATCAGAGGCGTGACAAACAGGGCAATCTGAATAGAACTACCGACAGCGACACCAATAGCTAGGTCCATCTTGTTCTTCATGGCGACGGTGATGGCAGTCACGTGCTCGGCAGCGTTGCCAACAATGGGCAGAATGATGAGACCGATGAATATTTCGCCTACGCTCGACGACTCGCCTGTGACATCCTTGATGGAAGCCACCAGGAACTCGGCACAGGCGGCGACCAAGCCAGTACTGATCAGAAGCAGAATAATGGCCGCCCACTTGGTGAGGTGACCATCGTCGTCAATATCGACGTCGTGGGCCGAAGGAACGGTGCCGGTGCGGAAAGTCGTCAGAGGGACCTGGGCGGGGAAAAAGGCTCCTGGGGCGCGACCAAGCTGCTGAGGCTGGGAGAGCCTGTCAGGCAACGAGTTGGTACGACGGATACCGTAACGAACGCGGGGAACAGGACCGGGAGCGGGGGCGGGGAACAAATCTGCGGCATCAGGCTTTTGAGCAAAGACAGTGGGCGCGAAATTTCGGACCGAGATGGTTCGGAGGGCTTGAAAGGCAGGGCGCTTCATCGACGCCTGTTCGTAGGCAGTGGCGTCGGTTGACGTGAGCGGCCGGACTTGGTCCTCCCCAGCGATGGGTGAAGAGTCTTTGGGAAGTGCAAAGTCGACACGCTTTGGCTCATTGTTGTTATTCTGCGCCGAACCGGTGCCATTGTCCATGGGTTGGCCGTCGCCAGGAAGGTCTTGATGACGGCGAGAAGACTTATGACGCCTCTTGCTGGAACGATGCTTGTGACGGCGGCGGTCTTTCCTATGCTTGGTTGGGGCCTCATCTTCTTCAATAGCCTCTTCCACATTGTCCACTGAAGGCATTCTAGAGAAAAAGGGAGACTTAGACAAGGATGCTTCCGAAAGCCCTATTTCATCTTGAGGACTAGTGTTATTAGTCCCGAAAGAGGAAGAGCGAGCGTCCTTGTCGTTGCCATCCTGAGAAGCAGTTGACGACTTGGTGCGGCGTCGGGAGCGGAGAACCTTGCGCATGCGCTTGCGGACAGTGTCTCTGGAGCGGCTCGAGTCGTCCGAGTCGGAGCTGGACGAGGAGCTCTCGTCGGAACTCGACGAGTTGAGCCAGCCAGCAGCGGGACCAGGAATGGCCTCGGCGTCGACAATATGCTGGGGGGTTGACTCGTACATGTAAGCATGGGACTTGAGCTGGAAGAGCAGATATAAAATGTAGACGAGCAGCAGGATAACACTGGTGCCACGACTAATCTTGAGAGAGCGTTCGTTGGCCAGGTTGTCATCCTTGAAGGATGCATGGAAGGCCGTGGGGAGAACCAGGCTAATGACACTCAAGCTGAGGAGACAGGCACTCATTTGAGTGACGGTGCTGTTGTAGACTTGCTCTCGGAAGCGCAGGCCGCCAAGGAAGAAGCCCATGCCGAGAATGAGGAGCAAATTGGCAAGGATAGAGCCCAAGAGGGAAGCCTGGACAATACGAATCTCATTCTTGGAGAGGGCGATGATGAAGATGATGAGCTCAACAGCATTACCAAAGGTAATGTTGAGAAGGGCACCGAGAGCGTCTCCCATTTTACTGGCAACAGACTCGGTGGCGTGGCTCAAGAGACCGGCGAGGGGTACAACGGCAATGCAGTTCATGGCGAAGACAACGCCACCATTGATGCCTTTAATGTTGGCAACGATGATGCCAGCGGGGACAAAAACGAGCAGGACGTTCAACCAGCTGTAGGTAGCGACGAGCCAAAAGGATCTACGAGCCTCCTCGATAAAAGTGCGCTTGCGAGGAGGGTTGATGTTGTCGCTGACGTGGTTGTCGTTGGTGTCATGGGTATTTTGACGGCTGAAGGTATCGAGGGCCCCCTCCTTGGTGTCTAGGACAGGCCCCTGCCCCTCGTCCTGCGGTGATGTGACAGAGGAGAGATTGTTGCTGGACAAGGCGCTAACGGAGCGGCATTCGAGGCCGTGGGGTGGGCGTGGAAGGCTGCGATCATCGTGTCGAGTGGCGTGAGAAGCTGCATCAGGGCTGGTAGAGGCACGCTCAAGGCCGTTCTCGTCACGGGCAAGGTAACTGGCGGTGGTGGTGTTTGCCTTGTCAGAGGAAAACGCGTCGGTGCTTAGTGTGCTGGGCGACGACGGTTGGATGCGGCCGGAATGTCGAATAGTCGACGAGTGGCCGGGAAGTCCGGGTTGGGTAGCTGCAATGGTAGACGGTTGGCCATCTATATCGGGGGGAACAGGAGAGTCTTCCTTCATCGAAGAGGTCTAGCGAGAGGAGGGTGAGTGGCTGTTGGTGAAGTGTAGGAGAGGCGGAGGCCAAGTTGAGGAATTAAGGTCAGTCTACAAGCTGTAACACACAGAAAAGAGTTAGAAGCGTGTATAGAAGAGAAGATGAACCAAAGAATGTTGCAGAAGGAGAAGGGGGGCAACATACAAAGGAGTCGAGGGGTGAAGAGGCCAAGAGGTGAAGGAAGATGCGATGTGGGGGATCTAAATAGGCAAGGTCTTTGGGTGTCAAGTTGGGGAGGATTAAGTGGGAGGATTAAGTGGTACCGACAAGGTTGGTACGTATGTGCCTAGCAAGGTACTTGCAAGGTTGACGCTACACTGGTGCAAGGGCACCCAGCACTAACTTAGTACCTACCTACCTATAGAGGTACCTAGGTAGGTACCTAGTTTAACTAAAGATGATGGTGGGGTGTGATGTCAAGGCTGTGAGACAGGTGGGATGGCACTGTGTTTATCATTACTATTATTAATTGAAATAGAAAAGAAAAGAAAAGAAAAGAGAAGCCGACAAGTAATAAAGCCGCCAAGCAAAGCCTAGTTTTGTGAGGTTGCAGTGACAGTCGAGGTTTGGTTAGGCGGCTGGGAATAATTAAAGATGACAAGAGGTGAGTGGCTAGTGGCCTCCAACGCCACCACACGCCACCATACTCTATTACTGCAGATACCTACCTGTACCTACCTTATTAGGTACCTTAGTACCTAGGGCAAAGTGTAAAGTGGTGGCGACGCTAACAAAACAAACTTCCCTGCACCTCTGCTGTGCCATACCCTACCTAATAAATGGTCAGTCAAGATCATGGTGATTGGGCCCCCGATGCTGCACACTGACGTGATCTGTTAGTGAAGCTTGAATAGCTCTGCATCCTGCCGCTCCTGACGACCAAGGCGCAGCAACTAAATTGTCAAGTCATCATCGGATATATGCATCCGCGTCTGCGAGGTTCAGCAAAACGCAATGTCATCGTCAGCGGCCCGCGGCACAACTGCACCAAAGCACGATGGACTCCAAACGAGCGGACCGAGTGGACAGTGGATGGGGTTATTTTACAGCCCCTTGTCATCATTATCAGAGCTTTGGGTGTCCATGTGGGGGGGCCCTTGCCGAACAATGATGGATGATGGAGGTTGATTGCTGATTGCTGGCCCGGTCACTGCCAGTCTTCAACAGCGACAGCATCACGTCGACAACTCGTAATACAATGAGATTCTCCTCGTCATTCAAGCAAACAACAAGACTCGTCACACGTCGTGGCACCGCATGTTGAGCCAGGGAAAAAAAAGGGTTACTTAGGGTAATCTTGGGCCACCACGGGGCACGGCGAGAGCCAGAACAATGCATTCACCGCTGCATTTTGTTCAACCTATCCATCCGTACCTTGGGTACCTACATAAACCTGTTCAGTTGCCTGCCAATGAATCTGCTGGCTCTCAGACTTTCACCCCCGAAATAGCTGGGTGAGGCTCGGGTGCGAAACCCGCCGCCGCCGCCGCGACACGTTTATACCTGACTACGCCCGGTCCTTTATGTCACATCCGTCCAAGACACGATCCGACACCATCCGACACCATCCCCTATATCCTGAATTGAATCTCTCGCCCCATCATGATATGCTACCAAGTATATCACAAACTGACTCAGCTACATTCTCTTCTGGCTGCATCTTGGACCTCCCTCTACCGCCCGTCATACATCTCCGGCAACCATCTAGCCGAGATCACACCCTGTCCAACTGTCAACGCGTGCCGGTCACCCGATATCATCCTCAGGTTTCGTGGTTTCGTAGCCCACCACCAACTCGCCTCTCTATTGTCCAACCCACAAATGCTACACCTCGACGGCATTCTATCGACTCCCAACAGCCACCTGAGGAGAAGTGGTTGAGTGGCTCAAGTCCATTCCCTACTTGATAACTAGTTTGCTGGGTCCGTCCGCAGATCACACGCCACACATCCCAACTCTATCGCACCGCTTCCCTGTTGTCCATCACAACCGGGAATCGAGCAACGCCCACTCATTCCCAGCTATCGCGCATGCCCACAACCGAGACGTCACCATGTCGTAGTCCTTCAACCTGCACACCACACCAACCCCGTGCCGTCGCCTGTCCCCAATGAACAATCTTTTTTCAGCTACTACCGTTGCAAGTTTCAAGAGGATCCCCTTTTTCTCTTTCTCGTCCCCCTTTGGGCCAAAAAGCACACGACCATCTTGAACACGCTACTGACCTGCTCCAACAAGCTGCGACATACACCAGCTCAAGCTTTCCAAAACACCGAGAGAGAAATTATCAACATTAGAACTTGGCTGGCGCGGGGAGGGGGGAGGAGCCGATAATCACATCGTTACCAAACAATAAAAGGTAGAGGTAGGTTTATACATGTCTGGGATTATCTATGACCATGTGGCGGGAAATGTCACCAAGCACAAGAGATTATAATACACTGCACCAACAACCCGTACTTGTCCAACTAGAAGCACAGATTCGCCGCTACCACTCCTGAATCTCGTCGCCTTTGCCAGGCTTTTGCATCCGCACCACCTTGTCCGTGTTGAGCAGACACAGCGGGTCAAGCGCCTTTTTAATCTGGCGCATCGTATCCACCGTCGTCACGCCGAGCTCATGTTCGAGATAGTCGCGCTTGACGAGGCCGACGCCATGTTCGCCCTATTGATATATTAGTCTATCTCATCCTTCTTTTTTTCAATGAGATTTTCACGGGGGTTTTCAAGGGTCGCGCCATTGTCCTACGTACAGTCACTGTGCCCTCCATCTCGACTGCGCGCTTGACCATGTGGTGCACCAGGGTCTCTGCCTTTTTGCGCTGGGCATCGTTGTAGATGAGAATCGCTGGGGGAGATCTCGTTAGCCTGTCAAGCGTATACACACCATGCCAGTTCAAGACATACAGTGAAAGTTGCCGTCGCCGACGTGGCCGACAATCGAGCCCCGGAGCCCGCTCTTGCGCATGTCCTGCTTGGTCTCATCGATCAGCTGCGGCAACCGGCTCATGGGCACGGCCACATCGCCCGTCCAGACGCGGTCGCCGGGCTGCATGACGGCCATGGTGCTCCAGAGGGCCTCCTTGCGCGCGCTCCACAGCTCGTCCTGTTCCTGCTGGTTGCGCGCAAACTCAAATGTCTGCGAGCCGGCCTGGCGCGCGAGCGCCTGTACCGTCGCCACCTGCTCCTTGACGCCGCCAGGGGTGCCGGCAAACTTGAACAAGAGCGTGGGCGCCTCCTTCCACGCGCGCGTCGTCATGCCGGCCTCGTTGATGAAGCGCATCTGGTTGTCGTCGAGAATCTCAATAGCGGCAATGGGCACACCCTGGGCGACGACCTTGGCGACGCAGTCAGCGGCGTGGCCAATGCTGGTAAACGTGCCGACGGCGACGCTCGTCGAGGCCGGCTTGACCGTGACTTTGAGCGTCGCCTCGGTGACGAGGCCCAGGGTGCCCTCGGAGCCGATGAAGAGCTTGGTGAGGTCGTAGCCGGCAGAGCTCTTGCGCGGGCGCTGGCGCGTCTTGATGACGGTGCCGTCGGCCAGCACCACCGTCAGGCTGAGCACCCACTCTCGCATCGTGCCGTAGCGGTAGGCGTTGGTGCCGCTGCACCCCGTGCCGACCATGCCGCCAATCATGGCACCGGGGCCGGGGTCCGGCGGGAAGAAGAGCCCGTCGGTGCCGAGCTCCTCGTTGAGCCGCTCCCAGCCGACGGCCGGCTGCACGACCACGTCCAGGTCATCCTTGTGAAGCTGCAGGATCTTGTCCATGCGGCGGAAATTCACCGAGACGCCCTTGCGCGTCGGCGTGAAGTGGCCCTCGAGGCTGGTGCCCCCGCTGTAGGCCACGACAGGGATGCGGCGCTGGTGGCAAATCTTCATAATCTCAGACACCTCCTCGGTAGTGCTGGGGAAGACGACGCAAAAGGGTCGCTCGTCGGGCGCGGGCCGGTGCGAGGACCAGTCGGCCGTTGCGTGCTGCTCGAGGTCGGCCGCGAGCGTGCTGACGTGCTCCTTGCCCAGGACGCGCACAAAGTCGGCCCAGGCTGCCTGCATGTTCTCGAGCTTGGTGTTGTGCCGGGGCACCTTGGACTTGGGCAGCGGCAGCGTCGACGAGGGGTCGGGCTCGCGCGGCCAGTACGTGCCCAGCCAGTATGCGATGCCAATGCTCGAGAGGAAGACTATTGTTGTCATCTCTGGTTAGCGGACACGGTCCGTCAAAGTAGGGTATGGAAAGGGAGGAGGGTTTCCTTGCAGAATGTAATCATCCAGTTCCTTGCGGGATCCGTCGTGTTGCGCCAGTGCTCGTACTGGGCGCGCTGCTCGCGCTCGCGGCGCAGACGCGCACCGATGCTGCCCATGACCTGGCCCTGGAACGACCGGCCCAGCTTGGCCGAGTTGCCCTCCCGCGGGGGTTTGGGGTGCTCCGGCTCAATGTGCATGCCGTACCAGCGCGCGACGACGGCAGGCGACCGGCCCGCGGCACGTAGCTGCACTTGCAGGCGGGCACTTCGCAGCGCGGCGCCGCCTCGCAGATGCGCCATTGTGAAGGAAGGGGTGCGTTGGATCGTCGTGATGGTGATGAGGTGGAAAGGGAGTCGGGGTCGGTGCAGTCCAGCGGCGAATTGTCGAAAAAGGGGAGAAGAGAGGGGGGCGACCCCGGTAATCTATATGGAGGCGCTCTTCACGGCGTTCGATGATGGCGGAGCGCTGGCGGTTGAAGGGGCCGGGTATTGGAATCGAGATGGCGGATGAAAGGGACTTTTTTTTTTCTCGTTTGGTATTTGCAGCTCAAGCTCGTCCAGAAGTGGAATGTGGAGTGCGGCCCCGGACGTGGCTTCGGCGTTGAACCACCACCTATAGTTGTCCATGATATAATCTCTTCAACTCTGGCGCCATTCAAATACAAAGTACAGTACAGATGGAGGATGAAATATATCGTGATTGTATAGTTTGGCCTGGCCCTAGCTTGCATGTCGTGAGCCAGTCTATGACCCTGGCCACATGGATACAGATGCACATTCTAGATTAGTCGTATTATTACAAGATCAAGACGGCATTATTGGCTCGGATGGACTCTAGCATATCTTCATTCATGCTATAATAATAGTACATACAATCTAGTGTGTAAGCCTACTGAAGCATAATGGAAGACAAGCCCGCTTCCCCCCTAAGGCATGTATGTGCCCTCCTAGACCAGATGCACGGTGAACATTGGTGGCTCCTGGCCCTGGCACACCAAATACGCCTCCAGCTCCTGGTCCTGCTCAATTTCCAGCGGTATCTCCAAGCCGCCGCTGGCCTTGATGATGCCGTCGACGCGCCCGCACGCCGCGCCCGGGAAAGGCCACACCGCCGCCTCGTGTAGCTTCTGCATCGACGGCGGCGACCCCAGCATCGCGACCCAGGGTTTCCCTGCCGTTTTGGTGTCTTTGAAGAAGCTCGATGATGGGTGCGGCTGTAGGAACACGGGGTACACCCCATCGTGTGGCAGATGGTGGTATATCTGCGGTGAGGGCAAGCTGGTTCCGATAGACGAGGACGTTGCCGCGCCGGGATTGTAAAAGGGAGGCGCCAGCTGGTCGCTGTGGTAGTTCTGATAGTGATAGTTCTGATAGTTCTGATAGTTCTGGTAGTTTTGATAGTTCTGATAGTTCTGATGGCAGCCCAGGAGCGTGGTGGCCACCGCCGCCTGGCCCATCATGGCCGGCGAGCCCAGCTGCATGGCTTCACTGAAGGAGGATGGCTGGTACAATGGCGCGGGTACATACATGACGTCGCTGCTGGGGCCACTAGACTCCATTTTCGAGACCTCAAACAAGTCGTCAAAGCCATCCCTTGCCAATCTCTGCGCAGCGCTCGGCCAGTTCTGCGTCGTGGTGCTTACCAACTGCATCCCCTGGTGGTGGCCGCTTCCGCTTCCGCCCATCTTTAGCAATAATAACTGCCGCTTGTTGTCAGTCAGAATGTGGTTTGCCAAACTATCCAACGCGCGCAGCCTGGCCTTGGCCTCGTCGGTGCCCGACACATCCTCCAAGATGGCCCGTACGCGCTCCGTACCCTGTCCCCATTGTCGCTTAAGCTCCTCCCACTCCTCCAGCAGAGCGTCCGACTTGGTCTCGAAAGGCACATTGGGCACCAAGAGACGCAGTATGGCGTGTATGCGCTCACACTCGAGTTCTGTCACGCCCATCCTACTCAGTACCGCTTTGGCATCTGTGAGCGGCAGATAACTTGCCAAGCGCTTGAGCGCGCCGGTGCAGATGATATCGAGCGCGAGCTGCCGCTGTTCGAGGGTGTGCGCGCCTTCGCTGACACTGCTGACGCCCATGTTATCGTGCGTACAGAGCTTACGTTGCAGCGCCGGCCAGAGGCCGACCAGGCGTTGCTTTGCGGCGGCCCATTGCTCGTGTCTGACTTCAATCTTGCGGTAGAAGCCGTCTTGGCGACAAATTTGCCTGAATTTGGCCCGCAGCGAGTAATATGAAGTTATATCGAGGCCAAGGATGATTCGCGCTTCTGCGACATTCATTTTGGAAAGGAAGCGGCTGTTGCTGCTCGCTGTTGTCGACTGCATACATTGTCCACGCTGCCATGCATGTGCCGGGACGGCTTCCCGCCCGACGCCTGTATGAGTATGCCGCTGCCGCTACCGCTTTCCTGCGTAATATTAACAATGCTTTTGCTGTGTGTAGCAGTTGCGGAGTGACGAAAGTCCTCGTGGTCGTCGTCAGTGCCTTCCTCGTTCCCATCGCCTTCCTGCCGCTGCTCGGCTGGAAATTTCCAGCCACGAAACTGCTTCTGAAAGACTCTCTTGCTAAAGAGCAAGGAGCTTTCTCGGAGCGAAGAAAAGGGAGAGAAACGCATCTAAGCACACTCCCTCCCCTCCAATTTCTGTTGTACAATGAATAACAGAGTTTAGTGCGCAGTTCTTAGTTTAGTATTGCGTCTAGCCAAGGGTGTCTTAAAACCTGCATAACGTCTGGCCTCTCTCTGGGATCCAGTTTCATCACAAAGCGTAGAAACGATGCAAATTCCTCCCGAGCTCCCTTCTTCATCCCCGGTAGTATATTTTCCGAAGCCAAGTCCCGCCTCTCATAGTCCGGAGGGAAGGCAATCACCGTTCCGTCCGCAGTGAAGGTATCCTTGACAAATTCCGCGTCTCCTTTATCGAGGAGCGTACGCGGCATCGGCCCAAAGAAGTCAATCATCTCGGCGAGATGCATCCGCACGTCATAGCGGCCCGGATCTTCTGCGGACAGTCTGACAAAGCCTGTAAACATGCGAATGGCGCGGTAGGCCTCTAACACGACGGCGCCTAGACTCCACCAGTCGACCGCCTCGTCCCAGGGCGCTTTGAGGAGAACTTCGGGAGCTCGAAGCGCTACGGGCTGAATGTTCTCGGTCAAGTGCTTATCTTTCCAGCTCGCCACCCCCCAATCTCCTAGGACAACACTGAACCCGTCCAAGGTACCGCTCTCGCTCTCGGTATCCCTCTTAAAATAGTATCGTCGTACTGGACGTGAGGGAATCGGCGTGTAAGGGGAGTCTCGGTTCTGGCGTGTTGGCGCTTCGTCGCGAAAGTAGCCTTCTAGTAGGGTGCGATCGCGAATCCGGATAAAAATGTTGTTTGGTTGAATGTCTATTATAGTTAGTCAATACTATAAGATCGTAAGCGAGATTACTTATTCTTTTACCTGTATGTATAACGCCCCGTTCGTGGGCATAGTCAAGAGCGAGGGCGAGTTCAATCGTGAATCGTCGGATAGTGTAGTACGGCAGGGTACCGTCATCAAACCAAGCTGGAAAGCTACGCAAGGTTTCGCCCATAAGCGGGAACACAAGGCAGATATGCCTCCCATTTGGGCCCTCGACTTCAAAATCATCAAGTAGGTGGCAGATAAACGGGTAGCCTAACTTTGTGCAGTTGCCGTCACGCAGGTGTCGTAAAATTTCTCGCTCAAATATGTCCTTATCTGTATAATAGCAATCTCCGCTTAAAACCTTCAGAGCGACATACTGATGTTCGTGACCGCTCCTATCGCTAGTTAGAACTGCGGTGTATTAGCGTTTGCCTTACGATAAACTTACTGGCACCAGATATCTCGCACCAACCAAACTGTGGAATAGACGCCGTACCCAAGCTTGTTGCAGACAATGTAGTGGCTATTGAAGATGTCGCCAATATAAACGGGATGAAAGCCCCCAGCGCGATAGGCACTGCGGCCCTCTTCAATGTCGGTATTCTCCTGAGTCTCCTGAGTCTCCATGGGGGGGGATGTGTTTCAAGAGGTAGGACGGAGGTAGCTGAGGAGCAGTATTTTAAGGAGGGTCAGCATTATTACTAAGCAGACAAACGCCAGCTTCTCCCCACACGAACTACATCGTACCTACACAACGCATATAATGAATTATATTACCTCTCTTTTATCTTCGTTTCTTTTAGCTCCTAGGGGCTAGAAACTGCCTCACGGGTATCAGTATCTGCTAAGGGCTGATGAGAGGCTACCCCCCATGAAAGACTTAGCCCAGTCACATCCCGTGAGTGTCTGTCACCAATGTTTTCCAGCCGCGCTGCATTTGAGTGTAGAATGTATTCTTATTTGACACTAGCACTTATTTCTATATCTGCTCGGTCATTTTCCGAAGCCATATATGCATTAATTTATATACTAGTGACTCTGCCGCCTAGAGCCTGCTTTGCAGCCACAGCGCTTAGGCATAGCTGATCCAATCAGAAGCAAGAATGTGCCAATATGGCGTTGACGTGAAGATGCTCCTCCCTATATTACAACGTGATTAAGAAGCAAAAGAACCTTCAAGGCCAACGCAATAAAATCACCATTGTCTATATAGGTAGCTCACCTCCTTGGGAAACTCCTGCTGTCCTTTCTCCCTTTCTTCTGTTGAATCGTTATCTTTCATTGAGCTTCAAATTTTAACTCTTCTTTCTTCTCCAAAATGCCCGAGGTTGCAGTTGGCTTCACTTCAGAGCATAAACGCTCTGAGTCAGCCGAGATAGCGGTGAGGACATATGCAGCGAGCGACACTCGCAGCATCGCGAATGGAACAGTGAGAAGCACTCCCCAGCATGCGTGAGTCCTGATATATCCGCTCTTTTTATAGACAAATGCTCACGAAGGCAATTGTTAGTGGTGGTGAGACCTGGCACACAGGCGGGACGAACTTGGCCAAACGCGGTAGATCACATCACTGTGGAGTTCCGAGACGCAAATGGCAACTTCATCACTACAAAGCACATCAATCGCGAAGGGAAAGCTGTCTAAGCGACTGTATTCGCATGTAGTTTTTAGTGCCGCCTTGCATAATGTTGTTACCTAGGAAGTACGCATGTTGCAGGGGCTTACTACAGTATTGGTGGTCGTGACTGAACAATAAGTAGCTCACATACATTTTTAACAACATGTGATTTTCTGAAATATCAACATCAACTGTTTGAACATGGTATCTGTATTAACCTGCACGTCGTTGTCGTGTGATAATTACCCTGTTTATAACAACTTTGCTCCTCCATGTTGGCCCCGCCAAAACAACAACGGCTGGGCTGTGCTGCTAGGGCGCCACCTACCTGCTTTGAACCATCTCTCCCTCCGATCCTGCCCCTTCCCACCCCAGACTGCCATAGCAGCGTTCATAACCTCGGCGCCCGCGCGACAAGCCACCATGGACGTTGAGGATAACAACGTCATTAACAGAGCCGCGGCCGGCGAGACGCTCGAGCTGTACGTCTTTGAACCACGGCGAAATTTGACAGCCTGCGCGCGCCACTGCCAGTTTTGCTAACAACGCAATGAACAGGGACCTGTGGCCCGCGCTGCAGATTGAGATTCTCGCCCGTCTAGAAAAGGTATGTTGTGGAAAGGCCCACTGCCTTGCGGAAAAGGAGCGCAATGGCTGACGAGAAGATGCGGTAGATTGCGCATTCAGAATTTCCCATCCCCGACCTGCCGCCGCCGCGCACACTGCGACGATCCCTCAACAACGGCGGGGCCTCTTCCTCATCACCAATAGCCGAGCCCTCGTCGCAAGAGGTCGACAAGGAGAATGCACCGATCCCCAACGACGGCAAGACCGGATATGACGTCAAGAAAGCCGACGAGGTGGACCAAGAGGCCACGGCCACGGGCAACGATAAGGACGTCGTCATGGATAGGACCAGCGAGGCCAGCACAGAGAAACTAGACGGTGAAACCTCAACAGCAACAAAAGCACACGTAGAGGCAGCTTCTGGGAACGCTGCATCAGAATCGAGACCGCCCGACGATGGTGGCAGCGACAACACCAACCCGCCAAAGCTCCCGGTCCAACTCGCCGCCATGCTCAGCGAGATCAAGAGCCACATCCAGACCTTTACCCATGCACCGCCGCACACGCTCCAGCGCCTGGCCGAGCTGGTACTGCAGCCGTGTCTGCACTACCGTGCCCTGGCCACGTATCTGCACGCCGTCGACCGCGTTGTCCAAGTCACCTCGGGCCTTAACACGTACCCGCTGCCGCCCGCCATCCCCGACATGTCCTCGATGCACATCAACGGTGTCGACGGCAGCAAGGGCGCCGCATCCTCGGTGAATTGGGGAAACCCCACCGTTGGCGCGCACAGTGCTGCCAACATATACCATGCGCCGCCAGCACCTGTGGGCTCTGACGAGGCACTCGGCGGTGCGCTACTGACGCCCATTCCCTGGCTGACGCGGCGCAGCCCCGAAAGCGGAGACGCAGCCTCGACGAGCAGCGGTGGCGGCAGCACAGCCGGCGGCAGCAGTAGCGGTGCGCAGATTCACAGCGAGGGCACTGAGACCATTGACGGCCCCAACGGCATGGGCAGCATCGAGACAGTGTCGGTAAGCGTCAACGGTGTGCCGTCGACAGGCCACGCGCGCGGCGTGACGCAAGGGGAGCTACTGCGCCAGGAGCAACGTGCCGGCGTCGTGCCTGTCAGCCAACTGTCGCGCAACGCCGGACATCCGCAGCACGCCATGCAGCACCACCAGCTGCAGTCGCAGCGTGAGGCCGGCGCCCACGGCGACGGATTCGACGGATCCGACGAAGACGAACCCCCGTCCATAGACGAGGACCGGCGTGCGCCCGCCGTCGACGACGGCGAGGAGGAGGAAGCGGAAGACGAGCTCCCGCACGCGCGCGGGCCCGACGAGATTGGCGTCGGCGACACGGGGCTCCAGACAGCCACCACGAGCGCCATGGGCGAGGCCGGCCTCGAAATGCAGGGCATTGACGTCGCGGCCGCCGTCGGCAGACCGCGCGAGGAGGAGGAACACCCCGCGCAAAGGAAATCGTCGCCAGAAAACGAGCAGACTGTTGAAAAGCAAGCCAAGGTGGAAGACGAGGAGGCGCCGTTGAGTCCTGAAAGCGTGGCGACGAAGCGCGAGGCAGAGGATACGGCACAACGCGAGCCTGCGAAAAAGCTCAAGGAAGAATGATGAGCACAAAAGAACGTTTACAAAAGACTGCGACGATTGTGATGATGGGATTTTAAAAAAAAACTCCTTTACTTGGTTCCTTTTTATGGCGTGAGAGACATTGGGGTTTTTGCATTTACACTTGTTTTTGGCAGTCTTTTGGTTCTCCTCATTACCTGTTGATACCAATTAAAGGATAAAAAATTAATCAAAATCAAGGCAATCATGGGGTCCATTATACTTGTACAACACACTGTAAACGAGGTTTGCCTCGACTGGGCAAGTTGCTTGGGACAAAAACGCTAGACTTTCTTTACATATTTACATTACAGCAGCTCAAGTGTACGCCCACCCCATGACATAATCGTACGGCAAAAGGCACACAGAAAAAGGTCGGACAAAATTCCGGCTAGAAAATCTTGGTGATGCTCTCACGCGAGATGACGCTATTCTGCTTGTCGTCGCGCTTGACGCGGAAGAAGCTGTCGCAAAAGTCGCTGCAGCGCATGTGCCGCAGAAAGTCCTCGTCGTGGGTGATGACGATGAGCTGAAAGTTGCTCTGGGCCTGGCGGGTGCGGATGATATTGTGCAGGCTCTCGGCGAGGCTCTTGATGTTGTCGCGGTCGAGGTTGGTCGTGGGCTCGTCGAGGGCGATGAGGCCGCAGTTGACGCCAAACGACTCGGCCAGTGCGAGGCGCACAATGATGCTCGCTAGCACCTTTTGGCCGGCCGAGCAGCGCCCGCGCATGTCCATCTCGGCGTCTTGCTTGACCATGCACAGCCGGTAGTTGTAGTTGCGCCGGCCGGTCGTGCCCTCATTGTCGGAGCGGATCAGGATCGTGTCAATGTCGGTGCCCTGATACGTGCTCTGCCACAGCTCCCCCGCGATGCGGTTCACCTCGGCCATCTTCATCGCGTGGAACTGCATCACGGCCTTATCCACAGCCGCGCCGCACTGCGCGAGGTCTTCGATCGCGGCCTTGGTCGTCTCCACGCGGATATGCGACTCGCGGTACTTTTGCTTGGCATCCTTGTAGTCCATCTCCCACTCCTTGAGAAGCCGATCTAGATCCTCATCTTTGGTCTTCATCGACCCCATGACGGAGCCTCGTTCAGCAAAGAGCCTGTTGGACTGGTTTTCGAGTGCACGTGCTTCGCCTTGCAAACGCTCGTAGTCTTCGTGAGCATTCCGATCTTCCAGCTCATTGATCTCTCCTCGCAAAGTCTCGAGCATTCTCAAGTGTTTGCGATAGTTGAGATTGTCATTTATGTTCTTCTTTGTGCGATCACCATTGTCAATGTCTTGCTTCAGCTTGTTTGTCCGTTGCGTCAGCTCCGAAATCTCCGTCTCCGTCGTTGTGATATTCTGCTCCAGAGTGGCAATGGCCCTCTGGTTTGAAGCCAAATTGGAGGCACCACCACGGTCTTCATAGTCTCGAATGTCAGATTCGATCATTTTGATCTCATTGATAGAAGTGGCGACAGAATCCCGGCTCTCGGTAACCACCTGCTCTTTGGCTCTTCCGCGCTTCAAAGTCTCGTCGCGAATGGAGCGCGCTTCCGTGATTCGCGGCTCAACCTTCTCCAGTTCCTCATCGGCGCGCTGGATAGCTTCGCGCTGGTGGGTCTGCTCCTCTTTGAGACTTTGTATTTGGCCTAGCAAATCTTGCTTTTTATCAAGTTGTCCTAGAGTGAGGCTAATCTTGTTGCGTAGTTCGCTCTTTTCCAACTCAAGTGTGCTAATCTGATCCCGAGCCCGCTGCCGGTCATTTGACAGTTTTGCAACTCGATTTTTAGAAGCACGCATCTGCTCTGAAACAGTACCTTGGAGATCATGAATCTCATCGGCACTGCGGCCAGTGCCAACAGATTGCTGTTGGGAAGCAATGCGCTCAACCTGACCTTCAGAGTCTTTGATCTCCCGTAGTGTCTGGGTAATATTGCTGACAGTCTTTGACATGTCGTTCATGTCTCGCTTCTTGTCTTCCTCGGCAGCAACAACAGCATCGTGCTCTTCAAGCAGTCTCTCGGTTGATTCGTGATCGGCTTCGATTGACTTGCGCTCATCACGCAGCCCAGGAAGCTCCTTGCCCAATCTTTCATATGTATCATACTGGCTTCGTACGGCCACCAGTGACTGCAGCGTAGAAGAGGCCTCACTGAGATCTTGCTCGGCTTCTATTTTTGTTTTGGAGTTCAAGTGTCGGTCGATCTTGACGCGTAGTCGGTCGATGCTAGCAGCCTGGCTGTCGTCAAAGTGCCGATCACAAAGGAGACACGTCTTCTTTGCATCAAGTGCCCGCTTGCATTTGGTATAGTAGTCTTTGAGGGCATCAATGAGGCTGAGATCATCTCGCAAGGTCTCTATCTGCTGCTCTGTTGCTGAGACCTCTTCCGTGTAGTCTTCTATTACGGCTGAATCCCGTACATTCTGCAGTGCCTGAAGGACTTTCTTCTTGCACTCGATTTGATCTGTTTGCTTCTGTTCGCAGGTCTCCTTGACCGTCTTGAGCTTGAAGTCTACCCTTGCTTGCTTCTGGCGGGTCTGTTCCTGTTGCTGGCGAGCTTCTTGGAGTGCTTTGTTCTGAGCTGCGAGTAGAGCTTGGAACTTGGCCTCTAAGTCCTCCGGAGACCAGTCGCCGCCAATGACTTTGTCCAGCTTCGATCTCCAAGTCTCGGTTAGCGAAGTGAGCTTAAGTTTGCGGTCAGAAAGCTCCTTCCTTCGAAAGTCCAGCTGGGCTCGTTCTGACGCGAGGCGGGTGCATTCGATCAGTTCTCTCCCCAGTTTCTCACTTTCACTCTCGAGCTGCCAAAGCTTTGCGTTTTCATCGGAAATTTGGTTGTCCCACGCTGCTGTCTCGAATTCTCGATGAACTTGCGAAAATTTGCTTTCCAGCTCTCCCAGCTGACCATCAAGAATAGCCTTCAGACCTTCGTCGACATCAATTGACGAAGCTTCGTTTTGCAGTACTATTGTTCTCTTTTCGATTGCGCCTTGTCGTTGCTTGGCAGACACTCGATCCTGAGTCCTAGCAGCCTTCTGCCCTTCGAACTCTGAAATAGTCGCGGATGCTTTGTCAAGCTCAGCCGCATTTTCTTTTTGCAGACGCTCCAACTCTCGCTTTTTCTCGGCGAAAAGCTTTTGAATCTTGTCGTTGAACTGCTTGATGAGCGCGTCGGTCAAATCGTCCTCGTAACCCCGGAATCCATGATGCTGAGCAGCCTCTTGCACCATTTCCATGCGCATCTTCAGCTGGCGCTCGTGCTTTTCCTTATCTGACTGGTGCTTGCCCTGCTCGGCAAGCTTGGTGGAAAGACTTTTGCGAGACTTGACAAGATCTTGCTGGAGATCGCCGTATTGTGTCTTGTTCCGTTGCGCCTCTTCGCTTTGACGGCGCATACTTTCTTCGTACTGTACAAGCTGGCGTTCGAGTGATCTGTCGTCCTCGGGAAGCTCGTCGATAGTCTGCCGTAGCTCGTCGACGGCATCTTGTCGGTAGTCGAGCTGTTCGCGTTTGTTGCCTAGATTTTGCACAATTTGCAAAAAGCTGTTTGCTTGCTCGTGCTTCTGTTTAATTTTATCTTGCGTCTCTTGCATATGGGCAGTGATGGCCTCGCACTTTTCGCGAGCAGCCTCAATCTCCGCTTGGAGACCGGTCATGCGCTTCTCAGCACGGTCACCCCGATCTTTGTTGCCCTTGTTATGGAACTCGTCATTTTGAAGCTTGCCGAGCTCCTCGACTTGCTTTTTACGAAGAACTTTGAGATTTTCGATGGCTTTTGTATATTTCAAGGCTTCGAATATTTCGTCGAATCGCTTCTTTAGGACGGAGGGCTCGCTCAGAGGCCACAAAGACTCGTCTTGATGGCAAAAGATTACTGCATCGAGAATAGCGGGCGAGACGCCAAGTCGCTCCGGGATCATTTCGTCGAGCTGGGCTTGTCTGGTCGACGTGGTGGTCTTCTCGCCGTTATTGAGCACGACGAGGGAGCAATCGAGCGTCTTTTGCGAGCGTGTTGTTTTCTTCACGGTCAACTGCAAACTTCTGGTGGCGACATGTTGGCGGTCGTTGATGGATCGGAACTGAAGTTTGACCTGTGCCAAGACCTCTTTTTCACCGCACAGCTGGCCCAGAGTTAGTTGCTGACAGGAGGCGAGATATTGAATAACGCACCTTTGGGTCATGAATAAATGCGCCGCCCTTGCTGTTGGGAGGAAGCTCGCCAGTTGTCGCATATTTGAGACATTCGATGATGGTTGTCTTTCCGGAACCATTGTAGCCGACGATGAGGGTCAGTGGGGTGTTGAACTGGATGGCTTCACGGCAGGCCGGGCTGAATGACCGGACGCCGGAGATGGACAGTTTTTCAATCCGCGACATTTTCAATGTCTGGAAGGCGGGAGACCATGCACGGCTGAGGATGAAAGCATGAATGGATCCGTGCTGGCTTGGTGGTGGTTGCTCGGGTGTGGGCGGAGTTGAGGATGCAAGCAGCTGAAAACGCGCTGTGATACCAGTCACGCGTTAATGGTGATGCGTGCTCACGTGCAGTCGCGCAGTATGGTGAAAGGAGAGGAGCGCCCCAAGTTCAGTTACAGGGCAAAATCAGAAAAGTAACTTGGCAAATTCAATGAAGTATTGTAGACTCAAGCCCCAGCCAGGAATATTTTTATTTATTCACGCGATGGCGCTCATTGCAGAGCGTAGGAGTGCATGGACAAACGAATGCCTGAGATATAAGTGCAAGAGTCCTGCAGCTGTGTGAGGGGTTCCTGAGGCACAGCCGCACAGGTGCTACGTGACTCTGACTTGAGAATCTACAAACCTCTTTTTTTTCTAACGTTATCATTATGACATGGGGCAAAAAACTACCCGTGTCGCTCCAGGCTGAACTAGCCAAGATGGCCAAGCTTTCGGCAATAGAGAGCGGGCTTCCTATACTGATTCGAGGGGCGCCGGTGGCTGCAATATTGGCTGGTGAACTATTGGCCAAAGCAACAGACGGACGGAACCGAGTAGAGGAAAGGCTGCTGGGCGACAAGAGTGTTGTGATGCTGGGGGAAGCACCAGGTCGAAGCAACAAGGGCATGCAGGTGTCGCATCCAGAGTATCATGGCTACGCTGGAGCGGAATGCTAGTTACGGGGCAAGAAGACTGTGTATGCTGTGCAACAACAGCCAGGTCATGAAACAGTCACGGGGCCTGTCCGATTTACAGGGTTTCCTGCCTGTTTCTCGTGCCGCGGCGCAGATCAGGCAGCCGCTGCGTGTTTACGGTCTATTGAACTGCAATGGCATGGCCAGGGTTGAACGAGGAGGGGTCGGGTGGCGCAACCAAGCGGGCGTCGATAGTTGTCAAGTGTGATAGGCGAGAGAGAGAGATGTGAAGTCGTGAGTCTGCTGAATGTTGGACAGGCGGCATTAGTAGCAGGCAAAAGCTGCGGCTATTCGGATTAGCTGGTTGGGGTTGAGTTGGCATCGGGTAGCCGATTGGCCAAATGTAATTTGTATGTATGGATGGAATGAAGAAAAGAGAGCGAGTTTGAGTTTGACTAGTTAGGTACCTACCTACCTCTCTCTGTGTACCGAGCTAACAGGTATTAGTTTGACGAGGTAGCGCAGGCTTGGCTTGAACGTGTAACATTGAAACGTGGGCTCGGGGTTTTCTAGTAGCGGGTTTATGGGTACCTAATTAGGTATCCTTTGGAGGAGAAAATGCTCACCGAAGGAAACAAAAAAGAAGAAAAAAAGAGAAGAAAAAACGCAGCTAGGGACCAGAGGAGAGACAAGAGCCGACGACAGAATATGACAAATGAGAAATGAGCTGCAACGTGCAACGGTCGGTCCATGGTGCAGCAGCGCTGCGCGTCTGAGTGGCTGGAGGATCAGCTGTGGCTAGAGAGGCTTGAGACTTGGATGCAATTGGTGTGGGAGTGACAGGGAACGCGATGCGGCAGGGATGCCAATCAGCGTCTTTTCGATGCGCCACAAGCCAAATGCCCTGCAGCTGCACCACCCAGCAATTTATTTGACTTGCCCCCCTGGCCGCCGGTGCATGTCACCAAGACTTTGAAGTAACTCATCATACGCATCCTTGACAGGGCTCAGGCTCAATATTTTGACCAGTCTCTGTACCAGCAATTCTAGTTGTTCTTTCTCTCCTTCTCTCCCCTTCGCTCGTACCTACCGAGGTAGCTGCACAAAGCACAAACAGACAGCCTCCTCATCTGTCCACTTTTCTCCTGCTAGGACTCTTTGCTCCGGGCATCCAGGCATCCATCCATCCTTTGGACCCCTCGACGAATTTCAACCCTGGAATTCCACCCGCATATAATACCAAAAAGTTGTGTGTCTTTTATTTCGGCTGCTGTCCGGGTCGAATTTCCACGACGCAATTCCCGGCACCAGAAAAGTCATAGACACGTCTAGACCTACTCTCTCCCGCTAGTTGGGTACCTATTCACCTCGAGCCCGCTTATTGTTATCATTCGCTCCATGCTAGCTGTCTGCTAGAGCCTAGCACAGAGGCAAAGACGACGGTACATACCTCACAACCACCAGTCTGAGGTACCTCAAGGTACCACCTCCCACCATACCTGTCGGTGCTAACTATTTCCTCCTGGGTAATGCCAACTCTCCCCAAAAGTATTCCTTCCCTCCACCACCATCCCCTCGTGAGGGCTTCATCTTTTTCTCGCTCGACATATCGTCTCTACCGGAGCTACCCTTCATCGCATATTACGACTCTCTACCCGTCTCTCGCAGAAACGACTCGCCTAATATCTCGACATCTACTTATATACCACCCTCCCCGCCCTGCAACCAGGATCCGCCACCATCAACGACCGCTAGCTTGGTTGCTTCTCGTCGTTGCTGCCCTCTGGCCACCCCCCACTGGCCACCCCAAAAGCTAGTTACACCAGTCGGCCGGAAATTGCTGCGTCCGGACGACCAGCCTGCCAAATGCCATTGCTGGCGCGGCTGGCTCCTCCATCATGTCCCAGGGACACCCGCCGCCCCCGAACGGCTATGCAGCCTTCCAGAACATGAATTTGAACTTCATGCCCGATGCCTCTGCCGCCCAGCATCCTATTATCATGCCCTCCACCACTACCGGCCCTGATGACCCTGGTGCCTTCGATGACGATGCCATGCGCTTCGCCGACGCCCAATTGTTTGGCCAGTTTACCTCGGACATGAGCATGGGCGCCTTCGCCTCGGGCGACCCCTCCCTCACGGATGCATTCAATCCCGACTTTGCTCTCGACGCCATGATGGCCAATGGCTTTGACGACTCCGTCGACCCGGACGACGCCCCCGGCACCGACAATCTGCCCGGAGGAGGCCCAGCTCCCGTCGACGGCCCTCCCCAGCCCGTGCAGCTCGCCAATCCTGGCACAAGCACCCTCAACGAGTTTACCAAGCGCCGAAACTGGCCCGCCAAGATTGTTGAGGAGCTGCGCGACTGGCTACAAATTGTCGACGCCAATGGTCGAATCAAGTTTGTCTCCCGTAGCGTCGCCGACGTCGCAGGCTACGCCGACGAAGATTTGCGCGACGTCTTTCTCAAAGATCTCATCCATCCCGACGATCGCGGCGTTTTCGTCTCCGAACTCAACGAATGCATTGCTTCCGGTAACATACTGCGTATCTTTTATCGTTTCAAGAAAAAAGACGGTCGTTACACCATCTTCGAGGCTGTCGGCCACGCCCACATCGCCGCCGCCAAGTTTGCGCCGAATCCCAGCAATCAGTCACCTTTTTGCCAAGCCGTTTTTATGGTTGCGCGCCCATACCCTACCCGAAACGCCGCCCTCCTCGACTCCTTCCTCGAACACAAGATCGAAAATGAACGCCTCAGGCGCCGAATTGCTGAGTTGCAGCGCGAAGAGCAGGCGGATGCTGACGACACTCACCAGCAGATGTCGCAGACGATGAGCCACACTGGCTCCAACATGGCTCCATCTGAATTCGCGGGCCCATCTTCTACGCCGAGACATGGGCATGGCAATGGTGATACGGCAATGACGGGCACACCAGAAAACTCACTATTCAACGGCGCCCTTACCAGGGAAAACCTCGAAGGAGTAGCCGCAGGCGCTCACCGGGACTCGCTGCGCGATAAAATGGCACGCTACGAGGGGACCTCTCATGGTGAGACGATTGAGATGCTTACCGGCTTGCGATACATGGAAGGTGAGCGTAGTCATGGTATTACTACTGGCAATACCAGCCCTGCGCTCATTAGGGGCGACGCTGGCATTGCGATTCCCAAGGACCGCGATGGCCGGCTGGGCGACAAGAAGAAGAAGATCAAGGTATCGGAGGAATACGTCTGCACTGACTGTGGTAAGTCTTGGCCGGATGGCAAATGCTGGCCGATACAACATTGGCTGACCTTGTCACTTGACTACCAGGAACACTTGACTCTCCGGAATGGCGCAAGGGGCCCAGCGGGCCCAAAACCCTTTGTAATGCTTGCGGTCTTCGCTGGGCGAAGAAGGAAAAGAAGCGCAGCAAACTACATGGCGGCTCGCTGCCGACTCTATCCACGGATTTCGGCCCGGTAAGCTGACACCGTGTCCTGGTCGCGTATCACGACATCAACGACAGCTACCATCATTGCATTTGAATTCACCTTCGCGTTTGCATTGGCGCACGCAACGGACAATAGAAAAAGGATCATCATTGTTATTTTCTGCTTGGGAAGCTCGAAAACCATTACACAAGCGACAGGATTTTCGGCGCAATGGTTTGTTTGTAAGTAATGCATTGGTGTTGATTTGACTTTTTTGTCTTGTTGTTCTGTTTTGCGCTGCTTTGCACACTACATTATACCAAAGTAGTTGTCCGGGATCCATGTTTGACGAAATTACGGCCGGCGTACACGAATAACGGCCTTTTGGGGTGTTTGATTTCAATGCCCTTTTGTTTTGTCACCCCCTCTCCATTTGCAGCGAGGAGCGTTGTTTTTGTCTATGATAAAGGTGGCACAGTACACGATCAAAGCCCTTGAGAGAATCAGAATGAACAAGAAGGTTAATAAGATGTCAATATACATATATATGTTTGGGTATCCTGAATACATTTATCAAAAGCAGAGGGCTTCTTTAAGTCGAGAGGAATCTTACATGTCGAAGCAGTTATTCATATCCTGCAGGTGATGCAAAAGTCCAAACTCGTCAAGCAGGGCAAGCCCCGGGTCGATGCCGTCAAAGGGCGAGGCCGACGTCACGACTGGCTCACCAGACAGGGGAGATTCGGCAGCGAGCTTCCGAAAGAGCGCATCGAGGATGGACGAGATGCGTCGCGCCTCGGACGATACAGCGCCTCCCCTCTGCCAGATGCTGTGCGAGCGTCGCAGCGCTGCCTCGACAGTCTGCGGCTCGGGAAGGGCGGCGGCGCTGCCGGCCTCGTCGCCGCCGCTTCTGGCACCACCTCTGCTGCTGCTGCTGCTCTCCAGGGCTGCCTCGAGCAGCGGCGAGCCAAAGGGTCCCGCGGCGACACGATACAGGTGCCGGCACAAAAGGACGGTGCTCATGAGGAACTCGTGCTTGATAACGGACGACGCCTGGATGCGCTGGGGGAACAGCCCACCGCCGGGCCGCGACTCGGTTTCCACGATGGAGTGGAAGCCGAGTACTTTGAGCGCCGCGTGGATGCACGTGATGTATGATTGTTGGATGTGCGCCCTATCCGCATCGCTGGCATCGCGCAGCTGCTCGGCTTCCTCCAGAGCGTCGCTCGCCATCATGCGATGCCAGTGAATGGCAATCAGGCCCTTTTGCAAAAGAGCGCTGGCGCCAATGCGGTGGATGATGTCTGCAGCTTTGTCGGCGATGCAGCCCAACATGCTGTGGAACTTGCACTTGTCCGGCAGCTGGTCGTACGTATCCTGAATGAGCTTCGTCAGCTCCTTTTCGCGTGCAATGGTCGGCGCGGGACACTCGGGGCCGACACTCATGTTCATGTCGGTAATGACACCGATGACGGTAAACAGGCGGTGCTTGGCAATGAGATGCAGCGTTGGAGTGAGGTCGGTCCAGGGCCGTTCGGGAGGCAGTGTCGCGCAGTTGGGCTCAAAGTCGGCATCGTGCAAGTTCCGTGGGAGGCGCACATCGGACGAGCCGGCCTTGATGAGTCGCGGCAGTCCCATCTGCGCCGACATCATGGTGTCCATGGCGTGCACGGTGATCCACAGGCGGCGGCGCGTCTCCCCTTGGAAGGCGCTGATGGACGGGAAGTGCGAGGGGTCGCGGTGGTAGCCCATGCGGTAGGCGAGGCGTGTCACGATGCCCGAGAGAAGCCAGGCATCGGCATGTCCGTCGGCGGAGCTGGTCGCCTCAATGAACTGGTAGTGTAAGAGGGCTTCAATGGCGTACGCGCCGCCCTTGGTGTACTCGCCGAGGATGAGGCATGCGACGACTTGGTCGACGTATGGGGGCGTCTGTAGTGGAAAGGGGGACGACAGCGGTTGCGATGGCTGCAATGTCGTTGGTGGACTGCGGCTGGCAGTTGTGGGAGGACCATATGCGTACAAAGCCCATGCTGCTTCAGTTTGGCTGGCGACACTCATGATACCGAAGAGCATAGCGATCCAGAGTATTGGCGTTTCGTATGGAGATGTCCAGAATTTCTCATACTATATGATTGGAATATTAGTCCAACGGTGCATCGACCGCACACAATTCAGCTCCTCGTACCTGGGTCAGGAAGTTCCCCGAGTGAATGACGGCCACTAGAGCAGAGGCCACGTTAGCATCTGTCTCGATGAACAGATCAAGTCAAAGCTGGGAAGCGTACATGGCAGCATCATGTTGTTAAAGTACAGCAGAACCAGGCGGTCTACAACGTCTCGAGACGGTAAAGCCTGCAAAATGTCTTGGAGCGACTGCGGCCTGTGCCCACCAAACAACAACTGGAAGCGCCTCTTGCCCGGCGGCGCACCCGGCACCTGCGTGGGCGATTCGTAGCTATCCAGGTCTCTCTTGTAGTACTGGTTATCGCTCTGGTCTCCAGGGAAGAAGTTGTCGTCGGCGTCATCGTCGTTGTCGTCGTCAAAGCCATCGTTGTCGGCCGCGGGACAGAAACTCTTGAGGGCCGACAGCCCGTTGAGGACGGCGCTCCAGTGCGGGCTGCTGACGTAGGCGCTCTTGACGCTGTCAATCTGCAGCTTGCCGACGTCGAGCGGGTGCGAGGATGCGCGCACCGGCGACGCGACCGTCACTGGGGTCTCAGCGGTGGCGGGAGGGCGATGCGGCTCAGCGCGGCCGGCTTGGCCTAGCGGCGCAGTGCATTTCGCGCATAGCTGCGGAGGGCTCGTTGAATCGGGGCGGTTGCTGTCTTGTTGGAGGAGCTGCACGACGAGACCCTCGAGGTGATTGATGCGTTCCTGGAAGCTGGTGGCCTTGGCGGCGGCGGCGACGGCATCTGCAGGCGCGGGCGTTACGTCGCTGTTCTCGGGGAATGCGCATGATGAGGCCAGGCCGCGGGACGAGCAGTTCCAGCAAGGCTGCACGCGGTTGCATCGCAGTCTACATTCAGGACGGATTGTTAGTGTTGCCCCGACATGACGACGCGCCGAGTAGAAACTTGCTTTCGTTTGCGGCAGAGGTTGCACGACAGCTGCGCCTTGTCCCTGCGCCGCCTAGCCGCCCTTTCTTTTTCTGTGTCTGTCGACATCGTCTTGCAAATGAGATAATCTGCACTTGAGTAGAGAAGAGGACGAGAGATGAATCAAGGATAGGTTTCCCATCATTGTAGTAGGTGGGGGGGGGTTGTTAAAAGTCAGCTTGCTTCCATCGTCAGTACATGCAAGGCAAGGCTGGAAATGTCGGACCCGGACAACGGAGGGTCGGAGGGTCGGCGTGAACGTGACCCAGCAGCCCTGATGTGCTGGGGGTACTACCTACCTAGAAGGGGGGGCCAAGAGGGAATTCTAATATTCTAATAATGGCGATTAACTAGTGCACTCTTTACCGATACACGGATACAAGCACGACAAACTAGTGAGAAGGACCTACCTATGTTTATAAACCCGTGGCGAATGATCAAGAGCTGCGAGTCCTTTGCCAACCCCGCCAACCCCGCCTCCCGTGCTTAGACCCGCCAAGGACCGGGTCGCGGTTTTTCAGCAGCTCAGGGGACATTGACAACGGCTGTGCTCCCAAGATGACGAGTAGGATTATTATTGGGATTATTATTAGCCTCGTTGCCTCGTCATGGGAGCTCCCTTCAATAAGTGCCCCTCCTTCCCCTCTTGTCTTGCTCGCTCCCTCTCACTCCCTTCTCTCAACTCTTGTGCATCTACCATCCAACAATCAAGGCATTAACTTACCTTGTCGTCTTCTTATTCTTTCGTCTCAATACCCTCTGCAACCGACAAAATGGATTCCCTTCTCAGCGCGGGCAAGGACTTTCTTGCTAAGAGTAAGTGCCAGAGCTGCTCCCAGCCATTACCCCTCATCGGCGCGCCGGCCCCTCGCTTAGCGCCCGCCCGCGATCCCCAGCGACCTCAGTCGCGGGCGGCATTGGACGCTGCTCCTATTTATTGCACTTGGATCGGACATGAATTAATCCTGTTTCTTCTAGACAACGCCGGCAACAGTAACAACAACAACAACAACAGCGGCGGCAACAACAATAACAACAACAACGGCGGCGGCGGCGGCGGCGGCGGCGGCGACCTCTTCAGCAGCGTTCTGAGCTCGCTCACTCACAAGGAAGACGATCTGAAGAATGGCGATGTTGACGAGAAGGGTATTGAATACTCCAATATTACCCAGCAACGTTCCGATAAAATACTTGTATTAATGCCGATTTTTCTTAGACGCCGCCGAGAAGCACGACCAGGTCTACAACAAGGGCGACAACAACTCCAGCGTCAACGCCATGGGCACGGCCGCTGCCATGCAGGCCCTCAAAAAGTTCACCGCGGGTGGCAAGGAGGAGGGCGGCAACAAGAACGACTTTGTCAGCCTCGCCATGGGTGAAGCAAGCAAGGTGAGGCTATTTCCAGCCCACGGCAGCCTGTTGCATCTCATTCCCCTCTCAGTGCCACTGCCCGTAATAGTATAAGAGGCTAACTACATTGTCATATCTAGCTGTTCGACAACAAGGCTGCCGACGGCAGCGTCGCGAACGGCGCCGACAAGAGCTCCGTCATCCAAAAGGCGGCCGAGGTCGCCATGAAGCTCTACTTCAAGTCCCAGATGCAGCAGAGCGGCGGCGGCCTCGGTGGCCTCGCCAGCATGGCCTCCAACTTCATCAAATAAATAGAGCGAAATCTACTGGGCGTCGCAGAATGGTGTACAGCACTTCACAAAAGCAATAAAATTATACTTCAACGTTGGTTTTCCAATACATGAAAGAAATGTGACAAAAATACAAGAATGCGGATAGCTGGCAAGTTAAAACGTACACACCGCTTGCTGCTGCGGGACTCTCGGCCAGTGCTCTAGACTGTGCCCTGCTTGGCGGCGAGCCCAAGCACGTCGACCCAAGTCTTGGGCCTTCTGCGCCCTTCGGGGTAGACTTCGTGCAGATACGTCTCGGCGTCGGCCGCCCAGGCCAGCAGCGCCTCCTCAGCACCCCATTCGCCCGTGGCCATCATGCCGATGCACACCTTGCCCTCGCCCTGGTCCGGGTCGACGTAGGCGATGGGCGCGGTCAGTGCCGGAAGACCGGCAATGTTGGCGAGAAAGACGTAAATCATGCTGAGGAACGTCTTGTCGCCGTCGCTGACGCCATACTTTGCGTGCGCGGGCTTCTTCTCCCAGCCCAGGAACGGCGCCGTCGGCGTCAGGATCAGCAGTCCGGGGTACTTTTGGAACAGCCAGGCCATGTGGCGCATGATGAGCGTCCGCATCGAGTTGAACTTGAGAAGATCTGCCGCATTGGTCTCGAGGCCGAGGGCCAGGACCAGCTTGTTGACGGGGCCGATGAGGGTCGTCCAGCTCGTCTTGTCGCCGCCTCGGCGCCGGGCGGCCTCGGTCATCTCGGCAATGGTGACGCCGCCGTGCGCCGTCTGCGCCTCGTCAATGTACGGGATGGTAATGTCCACGAGCTCGTAGCCCTGCGAGGTGAAGTACTCGAGGGCCTTGTTGCACGCGCCGATGACGCGGGGATCCGATGCACCCCACCAAGCGCGGTCCACGCCAATGTACTTGTTGGTGCCGGCGGCGGGGGGCTGCGACACGGCAAATCGGCTTTGGATCGACGTCGTGGGATCCGGCTGCGACATGATGCGGTACGCAATGGTCAGGTCGGCCACGTTGGCAGCCATGGGGCCGGCAACGCACATGGTGCTGTTCATCTCCAGGGTGCGGTGGTGAGTAGGCTTGAGACCGTACACGCCGTTGTACACAGCCGGGAAGCGCACGCTGCCACCAGCATCCGTGCCTACGGCAATGGGAATCACTCCTGCGCCAAGAGAAGAGCCAGCGCCGGATGAGGAGCCGCCAGGGTAGTACTGGTTATTCAGATGGTTCGTAGGGGTACCTTGGTGAGGCTGTTGTGTTTGGTTAGTCTGTCTCCATCATTCAATTCACAAGTCGTCTTTCTACACTCACATTGAGGCCATTCGTATCTACAAAGACGGTTAGTACAATGATATAAAAGAAAAACGACCCATGAACTTACCTGATCCTAGCTCGTGCATCCTGTTCTTTCCGATGACGACAGCACCAGCTGCTTGAAGTGCCTGCACAGGCCACACAGTCTCTTCCGCTGATTTGAAGAAAGGAACGCCCTTTTTGTAGGCCATTCCGTCGTGGTCAATGTATCCTTTTACAGAGAGGTCATCCTTGACGCCAATCGGAACACCGTCCAATACGCCGAGGGCCTTGCCTGCGGCCCATCGTTCAGTGGACGCCTTGGCTGCGTCGAGGGCGAGCTGGTCTGCGCCGTGGGAGTCGGCCCAAGCGTCTTGGTATATGGAAGCCTCTTTGGCGTATTTGCTAGTGATTGATAGAAGGGTTTCGGTTACTTGAAGGGGCGTGACTTGGCCCGACTTGTACATGGCATGGTAGTCACTGGCGGTGTAATGATGCGTGTCTCCTCTGTTCTTGGGGTTGAGCTGGGCTTCGCCTAGTTCAACCATGGGGCCATTGTCGCCAAGCGGAATAACGAGAGGCTACAAAAACTTCGGGTAAGCCACGGTGCAGACTCAGCGGTCGCAGCATGGATGGGTACGAGAGTGCTCGCCACCAAAGGATACTCACGTGAAAGGTGTATGGAACGTCGTCGAGAAACGGCAAGTCCTTGATCTTTTGCAGACCTGCATTGTTGTAAAAGATCTTGGCCAAGAAAGAAGAGTGGGTAAGGCTGGGGCACAAGACAACATGTGAGTTGAAGATGGTCAGCCGAGACATCAGACGGGAGCGACATACAGGCTAGAGGCGATGACGAGTGGCAGACCAGAAAGGACAGGATTGGCGTCCTTGCGTGGCTCGTATCTGGGCGAGATGATCTCCTCGACATCGGGGTAGGACAGGAACCCCTTGGGCGGTGGCAGGGGCGTGCTGGAGGGCATTTTGAAGCTCTGGGGATTGATGTGATGCGAGAATTCAAGACACGGAGAAGGCGGAAGAGCGCAATAAAAGGACAGGATATCGGGCTGCGGCTGGCGAGAGGAACCTCTTTTGCTGTACCGTGGTCAAATTGTTGGATAACTTTATTTATTAGGGAGCGATGAGAGCGGAACACGACGCTGTCGGCGAACTGGGCTCTCAGATCCACCAGGTACTAATAATAATATATACGTACTATTACTAGCCCGCAGCCAGGCGTGTATCAAAACCAGCTACTATTAACAAGTCATCTAAGAAACTACTACTATCACTGCCCCCTCTTGAATAGGTATACATGTATTATACAGACTTTAGTAGAGGCTACTAACAGCGAGCGCGAAGTACATGACCCACACCATCGTAGACTCTCTCTGTAATTTGTAAAGACTATTCCAATAAACTTCGCAATAGTCTGACAGATATTCAGGGCGAAATAAAACAATGCAATGAATCATGTCATCACCCCGTTGTATGACAACCAAGACTCTATTAAATACTTTCTTGACATGATTTGCATAACAGGAGCATTGCCCACTTCAGTTCGCGATTCCCTTGACTGATACTTGCGACAAAGGCGGATAGATGAGATTGCGCAAAAGTAAAGCTGAATTGAAAAAAAAAAAATTGAAAAAATCACTCCTTCTCATGCTCCTCTTCACGCTCAACGACCCTCGGCATACTCCTGCACAATCGCAGCCTCAGCCTGCTGGTGAATCTCGTCCAACGCCGGCTGTGCCGACAGCCAGCTCGCAACGAGGATGCTTTTTCGCACCCAGGTCGCCCCAAACCTCCGCGACGTGTACCAGGCCGGCCCGTAACGCGCGTACTCGGGAAGCCAGGGGAAATTGGCAATGACGTGCATCCGCAGCAGCGCGGGATACCGGTCTAGCTGCTGCAGCGCTTCCTGGCTCGAGACCATGTACCACCGAAGACTGCCGCCGAAGAACCCGATCGAGGAGCAGATGATGAAGGGAAGCGTGGCCGTGCCCCATATCATGCTGCTGACCATGGTGCCAGCGAGGCCCACGATCATGGCCGAGGAGCTTCCAGCAACCATGCTCCGGAACATGCTATGCAATCTTGTTAGAGGATCGATGCTCTTTTCTTGTTCTTGTCATACAGACGGGTATGAGACCAACACTAATCCAGGGCCGCTGTAGTGACGAACAAGAGCAGAAAATGATTAGTGTCTGCTTGATTTCAACCAAACGAGTTGACCTGCCTGACGTTGCCAAAGCCACCCAAAATCCTGAGAATCCCGTGAGGAGTCTGCGTCAGGTTCCCAAACTCTGATTCCTAACAGCCAAAGGTAAGTGACTACCATGCACAGCTAGTGAGGCGAGGTTGGCAACATTAAGAGCAGGCATTGTGGCTGATATCGGATTGGTCTAACACGTTTCTGGGTGGTGCGATAAGCCTCGGTTGAATAGACGGTAGTTCGAGTCCAAACGAAAGGTAACAGCAGGTTTGCAAAGGCACAAACATCAAGCAGGTGGACGCGAATAATTAGTTAGTAGTCTATGTTTTCGGCAGCTCACGCGAGACACCCCCCATTAATAATAAGGGTGTCTCTGACCTACCCAGCACCAAAGCTTAGCTTCCCAGGCAGAAACTCTATTCCCGGACCAAGCCAGTATTGCATCGCAGTGTGTCCGAATTACCTCTATTACCCGCGTAGTGCTTTCGCGTCTGGGAGCATTACTTTGTTAGAAGGGCTATTGTCGTCCGGCGGAAGCTGGCGGCTAATAAGGTGGGTGGGTAGAGTTTGATAATATGTCTACGCCTTGTAAAAGTCGCGGGAGTATAGATAATCATTCGGGGTTCGGACAACTTGTTGCGGCGGGTGGACTGCTTCGGGATCCCAGAAACACCGAAAACAGCTCACAACAGTCGCGTACAAAGGCTTGTGTCCACAACTTGAGTGACGAGTACCAGGTTTTACATTTCAGCACGGCTGGAACGCAATGCGAAAGCTACGTTTTAAATCTGACATTTCCCAGTAGGCCCGCCTGCGCCGCCCACGAACGAGGCTGCGGAAAATGTGGGCGACCGTGGACGGCCGGCAGAGCTAGTCCGTGTCTTTCCCTACAAGTATAAATCGGCTTCCTGTGGTTCCAAGTCTTAGTTCTTCCCATCTATTCATCTCACACAACTTGACATAAAAGAGCTCACGTGAAAATGCTATCCAGCACCATCACCCGTTCTCGGCCAACGGCCACCATGGCCAAACTTGCTGGTGGCATGTTGGTCGCGGGGCTCGCCACAAAGTACACAATAGGCGTTGCCCACGCAGAGTCGCCAGCTGCTCCCCCGCGGAGCCAGGTCTTTGGACGAGGCCCAGCTCTCGTCTCCCTCGTATTGGAGGATGCAGAGATGGTCAATCACAACACGCGGCGCCTTCGGTTCCGGTTTCAGGATAAGGAAGCGGCAAGTGGATTGCCGTTGACTTGTAAGTCTGGCGCCCGTCGTCAAAAAACAGTGGTGCCGTTGGTTCGAAATGCTAATGCCATATAGCGGCTTTGTTGACGTATTCGTGGCCCAAAGACAGCTGGCTACCTGTAATTCGACCGTATACGCCCATCACTACCGCCGGTAAGCGCCCATGTTCAGCATTCCAGTCGCGCGTTTCCTGTATTCAAGAGCTGATTTATTCTTTTTGCGTAGATGAGACTGGCCATTTGGACTTGCTGGTGAAGCAGTATCCCAATGGAAAGTCCAGCACGCACCTGCATTCCCTCAAACCTGGCCATACCCTGTTCTTCGTCGCACCCCTCAGCGGCCACCAGTGGCAGCCCAATAGCTACAAGCATGTCACTCTCATCGCTGGCGGGGCTGGCATCACGCCCATTTACCAGCTCGCTCAGGGCATTCTCAACAACCCCGACGACAAGACGGCGGTGACGGTCGTGTTTGGCGTCAATAGCGACCGGGATGTCCTGTTCAAGAAGGAGTTTGACGAGTACGAGCAAAGGTTTCCCGGGCGTTTCCGCGCCGTTTATACCGTGAGCAGCCCTGTGCCAGGGTCGCCGCACCGCAAGGGTCATGTGAACGAAGCGCTGTTGAAGGAAGTGACGCCGGCGCCGGGGCCTGGCAACATGGTGTTTGTCAGCGGACCGCCGCCCATGGAGACGGCTTTGGTGGGATCACGCCGAGAGCCGGGGATACTAGAGAAGTACGGGTATCGCAAGGAGCAGGTGTACAAGTTTTGATGACGAGAGCTGATACGAGGTTCGCAAAGAAGGAAAAAAAGAAAAAAAGGAAGAAAACGGAAGAAACAGAAAGATGCGTGCGACGAGGCGTGTAAATTAATAGGTCTCAGGCGGTGCTCGGGGTGCGTCCCCACTGTATTTCGACTCGCGTCGCGGGTGGCCAACATCGCGCATGCAACGACTTGACAGAAACATAATAATGACAAAGTTGAGAACCTGACAATACAACCGGACAACAATTGCCAATTCTCCTATACACCCGACATCAGTCACACTCCCCCCAGCTGTCCGCCCACCCTTTCTCGCCGCCGGCTTCGGGCGCGTTCATCTCCTTTTGAAGCCGATCTGGCCTGAGTCACCCTAACTACCTCCCCACGGTAACGTACCTACCTACCTAGTAACAAGTCAACCTGACCACTGGTTGGCGGCTGGCCGAAGAGGCGTCTCCGCAACTGCAGAAAAAATAGCCACATCCCACCAAGGGCCAGCACAGTCACTCGGCTTCTAATTTTTGTTTGTTCCTGCCCTTATTTATTCTCAAGCTCCCCCGTCACCTTCGTGGTCCGGGTTTATGAAAACTTCCGCTCTCCCATCTTCTCTTCTCTCTTATTCGCTTCGTAGAGCACCGGTTGCTCCCTCTTGTTCCCGCCTCGCCGTTGCCCCTCGTCGCATCGTCGCCCGCTTCCAACCCCGCCATCGCTCTCTGCACGCCGGGCGACCACCACCTCCAGCCTTGACCATGGCCGCCGACGCTTCCTTTGACAACCTGGCTAGACAGTTTTCGCATCTGCCATTGATTGACAAGCTGCCCAACTGCTTCCCCGACATCAACCCCGTCGACATCTACCGAGCCCACATCACCTCCATCCTCAGCCACATCACCGGCGCCGACAAGAGCCTCATCTACCCCGTTCTACAATGGACCGCCACGCTCGACAAGGGCGACCTGATGCTTGCCATTCCCGCCCTTCGCATCAAAGGTAAACCCGACGACCTCGGCAAGCAATGGGTGGAAAAGGTCAGTCGTCGTCCAACCCTTCTCCGCCGTCATGAGTTCTGACACATCACCCCCCTCACAGTGGCCCGAATCCCCCCTCGTCGAAAAGCCCGTTCACAATGGTGCCTTCATCTCCTTCTTCTTCAAGCCCGAACCCATGGCCAAGACCGTCATTCCCATGGCTCTTCAGCACAAGCAAGACTTCGGCTCCAACCCCGCCAACGGCCTCCGCGACCAAAATGACCCCTCCAAGGGCCGCCAAAAGATTGTCATCGAGTTCTCGAGCCCTAATATCGCCAAGCCTTTCCACGCTGGTCACTTGCGAAGCACCATCATCGGTGGTTTCCTCGCCAACCTCTACCGAAGTGCCGGCTGGGACGTCGCTACTGTAAACTACCTCGGTGACTGGGGTAAACAGTACGGAGTCCTTGCTCTCGGCTTTGAAAAGTATGGCTCCGAGGAAGAGCTCGTCAAGGACCCCATTAACCACCTGTTTACCGTCTATGTCAAGATCAGCAAGGAAGTTGCCGAGGAAAAGGAGCAGGCGGATAAGCTCAAAGCAGAAGGCAAGGAGGAAGAAGCTCAGAAGATTCTCGACAACGGTGTTGACGAAAAAGCCCGCAGCTACTTCAAGAAGATGACCGAGGGCGACGAGCAAGCCATTGCTCTTTGGAAGCGCTTCCGTGACTACAGCATCGAGCGATATAAGCAAACCTACGCCCGCCTCAACATTCACTTCGACGAGTACTCTGGCGAAAGCAAGGTCTCTGAGGACGAGATGCAGCAGGCTGCCGCCAAGCTCAAGGAGATGGGCCTGGCCCACGAGGACCGCGGCGCCCTTCTCATGGATTTTACCAAGAGCGTTCCCGGAAAGGAGGGCAAGACCCTTGGCAAGGCTATTCTTCGCAAAAAAGATGGCACCGCCCTCTACCTCACCCGTGACATTTCTGAGCTTATCAATCGTCATGAGCGCTACAAGTTTGACAAGATGATTTACGTCATTGCTTCAGAGCAGGACCTTCACGTCAAGCAGTTCTTCAAGATTGTCCGCATGATGGGCCGTGACGACATTGCCGACAAGTGTCAACACGTCAACTTCGGTCTCGTTCTCGGCATGAGCACCCGCAAAGGCACCGTCAAGTTCCTCAACGACATTCTCCGCGACGTCGGCGACCACATGCACGACGTCATGAAGAAGAACGAGGACAAGTACTCCCAAGTGGAGGACCCTGAGCAAATCGCCGACAAGCTCGGCATCTCGTCGGTCATGGTCCAGGATATGAACGGAAAGCGCATCAACAACTACACCTTTGATCTGTCTCGCATGACCAGCTTCGAGGGAGACACGGGCCCCTATCTCCAGTACGCACACGCCCGCCTGTGTTCCATTTACCGCAAGGCGGAACTTAGCGACGAGGCCATTGCTGCCGCCGACCTCTCGCTCCTCACAGAGCCCATGGCCGTCAACCTGCTCCGCGTTATTGCCCAGTGGCCCGACGTCGTCCAGAACGTCCTCAAGACACTGGAGCCCACCACGATCCTCACATACCTCTTCAAGCTCACCCACACCCTGAGCACTAGCTACACCCACCTCCGCATCGTCGGCAGCGAGCCCGAGGTAATGAAGGCTCGTCTGGCCCTCTACAACTCTACCCGTGTTGTCCTCTACAACGGCATGGCCATTCTTGGCCTGACACCTATCGAACGGTACGTATTGAACATGTATACCTCAAAACGCGCTTCACTAACCTTTTTTTTCAAACAGCATGTAAATGAAACGATAAAGCACCATTTGGAACCATTTATGCATGGCTTGCTGAGGTCTAGACTTATCGAGATTAATTCATCTAAACGCCGCCCAAAAAAAGCATATATCAACCGTTATGTTCGCGTTATTCTGTATATTCTATGTGATTGTCCATGTCGATTCTATACTTGCACCGATCTTACTTTGCAGCCTGGAAATCGAACCCAAGGTCGGCAAGTGTTTTGCACTCCTTGCGGCGCTCTCCCAACGCGCGACTAGCGACCTTGATGGCAAAGATTTGCGAGCGCACCCAGCTCAGCTCCTCACCCCAGTATGGCGACCGCTTGCCAGCGCCGTCATTCTCGAGTCCTCTCTCTGCATCGGGCCGTGCCTGTCCGCTCAGCGCGTGCAAGCGGTTAATGTAGTCGACGTCCTGCGGGTAGCCAAACGTGTGCCGGGCGCCGGGCGCACTCTCGGCGCCGCACCGCCGCACCCAAGCGTCCCTCTCTGACTGGTTCGGCACGTTCAGTCGGCCAGCCCATATGCGAGCGATGACAGCCATCTGTGCCTCGGCAAACGGGAACGGCACGATGCGCTTGGGGATGACGAGCAGGGCGAGCGTCGGGTCCGGCGCGTACAGCATGTGCTCCCACAGGTGGTCCGCGTAGGTGCCGTTCGGCGCGGTGATGCCCGGCGCGAGCGAGCCAAGAAAGGGGAACGAGTAGTGATAGCCAGTGCAGAAGATGACGGCGTCCACGCCGTCCTCGATGCGGCCGGAGGAGAAGCGCACAGAGCGCGTCACGGGGAGTAGCTCCACGATCTGGCCGACGTGGCGCGACCAGTTGTTAGACGCAGCTGGGGGGGCACCGGGGACATCCTTTTCGGAGATGAGGACGGGGAGCTGGGCAGAGGTGGCGATTTGGTGGCTGATGTCAATACCGGACGCGGCGTTGCCGACGACGACGACCTTCTACATAGAGGTGTTAGCAATGCCAATTTCGAGAGCTTGTACTTTACATGGCGGTGGGTCTCGCGCGTACTTTGCCGGTGAATTGCTCCGGCCGGCGGTAAAATTTGGAATGGAGAATGGCGCCGGGCTGCACGGCCTCAAATTCGGCGATGCCAGGAATATCTGGCACAAACGGGTCGCTGTAGTGGCCGCTGGCCGCGACCACGGCATCGTAGCTCTTGGCAGACACGACACCGGATTTCAAATCTTTCGTCTCGACTGTCCATCCCAGCCTCCCATCCTCGGCGGTCGTCTTACGCACGTCCCGAACCTGCGTCTCAAAGGTGACGAGATGCTCCACGTCCCTGCCGTACTGCTGGATGTACGCCAGGACCGTGCCGTGCTCCGGGAACAGCGGGGTGCCGGCCGGGAACTCGAGGTCCGTGTAGCTCATGAGGCCGTGCGGGATATTGGTCTCCAGGTTGTCGTAGACGGGCGAGACGAGCTCCACGCGGGCGCCCGCGTCGTGGCCGTCTTCCACGACGACGTACTCGTGCTCCGAGGTCGGTGTCGTGCGCGGGATAGAAAACCCTGGCTCCTGGCTGACATGGCTCGTATTCCAGACGCCGCCCGTGGCAGCGCGCTGCTCGTAAATGGCAATATGGGAGAACTTGTTCTCTGCGATGAGATATCTAGCTCGTGTGCCTTTCGTTAGACGCGAGGGCCAGACAAGCTAGATAGATGGTGGGAGGGGCCGAGGCTGGGGCGGTTCTCACTTTGCAGCGGCGAGGCCGGCGGAACCGGCGCCGATAATCGCGATGGACTTGACATCCATACCGAACAGCCAGAGTCAAAGTCTTACCGGGACTCAGACTTGGTGAGGTTTAATGTCCAGGTTCGTCATCGTGCAGTTGCGGGTGGTGCCGTGGCGCACTCTGCGGGCGGGATTTCGCCATGGGCCGATGTGGGGTGATGCATTGCGCGAGCGCATGTTGAAGTGTAAATATGGCATTAAAAAGACAGCGACCTTTTTGTTTGATCTGGTCTCGGAGATGTGCCTATGCGGATGCCCGATAACAAGGCGGACGCATACAATCGCGTGTTGTCGCTCATCACATCTATTCTTGGAGCGTCACATATTGACCAGGCACCGCTGCATAAGATCCTTGACAGGACCCAAGCACGTTTATTTATGACCTCGTATTTGGCCACAAGTATTGGCCTTTGAGGCTGCAGCGGTGTTACGATGTGGCAGCTGCAAACATTCTGTCAAGTGCTGGCATGTCTCGGTTGTTTTTCTGGTGCGAGGCTGAGTCCAGCTAGCCGGGCGGCGTCGACGAGCCGACATGCAACAGGCAACGGGTGTCGGCCGCAAGGTGTGGAATAGGAGTTCGGTCAGTCATGAAGCTGCAGTATGTCCTTGCACGTAACGACAGCTTTGTTATCAGACGGGTAGGCGAGCTAGGAGCCTCGTTTGGCGCCCTTGCGCGATTGCTACTTGGGTACTGGATAGTATTATTTGACGGGTTCCTGCTAGGCCAATAAACTCACTCAACTCGGGCCAGTGGAGGGCTAATGACATCAGGATCGGGTAAGCTTGTTCAAGGCAGAGTTGGAGTCATCGTCAGTTCATCATGGGGCAACACGGACAACATGGGGGTATCGGTGACGCCGCCTTTGCGTGGGACAGCAGCGTCGATCAAAACTCGAGCGGAACTTTTTGCATGTTCTCGTCATGACGGTCGAGTTTCAGAGATGGGCCGAAACGCAAGCAAGGGATGCATTTCCCGGAAGGCGTTTCAGACGCGGGTGCTAGAGCCTATTTTAACATTTTGACAGAGCCTGACAGCGTCAACTAGTTGACGTGTCGATGTCGATCGGGCCGGCAGCGTGGCGGTCGGGATGTGCAGGTCAAGGCTTGATGTAGTTAGCCATTTGAGAGTTATCCGTGTCATGGTTGAATCCCTATCATTCTTCACGCAACTGACAAGGGCAGGTGACAGAGGCATTTCAACGCCTCATTAGTGTGCCAAGTGGTTGAGATGTGTGACAGCTTCCCGTAAGCAGAAGCAATTATAGCGATACGAGTAGGAATAACTACCTAGTTGTGTTTCTTTTTCCTAGACTGTTGACGCGTTCATCGTTATTGTGGCTAACTATGGCCAAGACGTGGACCCAGAGTCGTTCGAGCTGGAGTGATTTGTGGAATGGATGCCGAGCCGAGATTGGGCTAGTGAGATTGTAAGCATCGTAAAGAATGAATGCGAACTTATCCGTAGGGTGCCAAGTGCGAATGAGTGGCATTGGCTGGCAAAGCATATGCGTGAACAGGCGTGGCTGGGCACGCCAACGGGAACAGTATTGTTGATGATGGACAAACGGATCTGGAGTTTATTTATTCGCCTGCAGCATGCAACAGCGGAGCTGGAGTCAGCACAACAAGCCTGTAGAAACCGTGTTGAAGCCCACTAATAAAACTCCCCGCAGAAGCCCAAGAGCACTGCCATCATCCACCCTCCACTCCGTAGGTATTTAGTACAGAGTACTCCGTACTCCGACCTGGTTCAAAAATGACCCGGCTGGGCGTTGGCATGCATTTTGGATCTGACAAAGAGGTTGGGAGAAGGCCGGGAATAAGTACGACTAATAAAAATTACACATAGCTGGCCGAGGTGGCCTTGCCAACTCTCTCACCGTCTCAGTAGATGGTACCTACCTACGGATATGTAATTCGTACATGTGCTGATATCAAGTAGTCTACCTTGCTATTCTATCTTGGGTGCTTGGTCGCCAAGTCGCTTGCTACTAACCTACTAAGTACCTACTACCTATATTACCTGCTGGTCAGCCCGTGGTTTGCCCCGCCGCTCACTGGCTTTTTTAGACTTGGCTTCATCGCCCCAAACCCAAACCCGCCAACGCTTGCTGTCCGCTGCCCGTTGCCCGCCAAAAGCCCCCTGTAAAGCCCCCCGTTTCAACCAGCCAGCCACAGACCCTTGTTGCCTTGTACCCCTGCATCCTCTACCATCCCACTCTTGCCCTTCCTTCTTTCGTTGCCTCTAGGTAGAATTTGTACCTCTAGTAGGTAGCCAATCTGCTCAGTGCCGCTTCCTTCACTGCTTTCTGTCCTCCTGTCTCTGCCTCGCCGGTTCTAGGCTCTAATAGTTAGTCCCCCTCCAAACCAAAATAAACTGCCAAACTGAGGATAGTTGTACTACCTTGTTCCTCATTTTCTTTCTTTTCTTCCTCTCCTTTTTTTTACGCCCTTATCCTGCCGAGTAATCTGCCCTTCCAACTAACCTCAGCCTTTCTCCTACACCAGATCCCGTTAGTGAGCTTGGTTCCTCCAGACCCAATCACAATCACTACCTTCCCGTCGCCTCTCCTCCTCGTTTCATCCTTTCAATAACAACCATTTCTTCACCACTCTCCAGCATCATTTTTACCGACCATCCCTCTACCGATTTCCTATACCATCGACCGCAGTCTTTCGCTTTGTACTATACGGCCTCGTCTACTCTCCTGATCGCGTCTCACTCCTCGCTCGCACTCGCACTCGCACTGCCACCTCGTATCCGTCTGTTGCCTACGTACCATTCAACTCCGACTTTTCTGCTCTCACCACCTCGACGTTAACGCTTCAACTCGACACTCGCAGAAATCTCCTTCTCATCGGCTGATCAATCCGTCCATCTCGTTATTATTTTGTTGCACCTAAACATCTCCCTCAGCCCACGGCTCACGGCCGATTCTCTCTTCGCCAGCCATGGTCGCCACCCGGCTCGAGTCCCGCAAGTCTCTGCTCGGTGCCGATCCAGGCTTCTCTGAGCAGAACATGCAGTACCAGCAAAACTACGCTCCCAACCAGGCCTATCCCGACGCCTACACGCAAGACTATCCCAACGGTCCCTACGCACAACCCTCACTCGCTCAGCCCACCTACGCCGACAACGCCAACATGATCGGCGACGACTTCCATCAGGGCTACGCTGCCCGCGAAGGCCTGACATCGAGCCACGCCGTAAGCACCCACCGAGACAATTTTGGGTTTCTCAAGCGAAAATGGCCCGCCGCTTTCATGGCTATTACCGGCCTCCAGGCCATCATCTGCCTTGGCTTCGAAGCGTACGTTTGCTTGCCACCGCTCCTCGGCCGTTTTAACATAACTTCTTCTTGATCATGTCCACTAACAAACGAACCATGTCCAGCTACGTCTTTGGCAAATTCCAGCTTAGTCTCGGCGCTCACGTTAACGAACCTCGCGTCCAGTCGCAATATCTCACCATTCCCACCTTTCTCACTCTCTTCATCTTTGGTTTCCTCTACGAGCTGGTCATCGTCTGGGATGCACTCCGCATGAAAAACACGATTCAGATTATTGGCGTCTGCATCGCCAATCTAGCTATGCTCGTCTACACCGCTATCCAGGTCGACCAAATCCAGATGGCCGTTACCGTCCTCGCCAGCTTTAATGCTCTCGATCCCCATGTCACCGCGTCTGAGCTCTGGGGCGACATTAAGGCTTTCCTCGTCGCCATTCCTGCCATTATTGCTTTCACCACCATCTGCATGGCCTTTTGCGCCTGGAAGCTCTATCAGGAATTCGCCTGGGATATCCTCAAGAACATCGGCGCCGACTACCGCATGAAGAAGCGCTTCCTCCACTATCAAGTCAGTCCTCCTACCTCGCCCGTTCCATGCCGAGTACTAACATGAAACAGATTTATATTGCTCTCCTTAAATTTGACTTCTTCTTCTTCCTCGGCTTCATTATCCAGTTTGTCGTTGTCGTCGCCAAAAAGTCCGATCCCGAGTTCGCCGTCACCGTCGCCTCCATTCCCGTCACCATTGCTATTCTGCTCGCCGCTGCCTTCTTCACCAAAAAAGAGAACAAGACAGGCATGGCCATTACGCTAGTCTTCTACGTTGGTGGCCTAGTCTACTTTGTTTTCAAGCTCGTTCGCATCTACCAACCTGGCTTCAGGGAGCTTTATACTGCCGTCCGCAAGTCCTTGACTGCATTTGCCGTCATCACTATTCTGCTCATCATTCTCACCATTGTCAACGGCATTATTTGCATGCGCAACTTTGGCTCTGGCCTCAAGCCTCATCTGCAGTCCAGCAAGCGCGTCGAAGAAAACCCTGACGCCATGTCTTTTAGTCTAAACGATGTCAAGGCTTCTGTCCCGAATCGCATGACCATTGACTAGTGCGCACAGGTGCTATGCATATCCATCCATAGCAATGGAAGTGTACAAAGAGAGATTTGTGCGACGACATGACGACCGGAATGTGCCTCCCCCCCCCCCCACCTTCGTTTACTCGACTTGTTTCTACACCGACCACAAGGAAGCAATCACGGATCTTGAGCGGGCTCTTACATCCTGCTTTTGCTTTACGGTCATGACGAATAAGTCAAAATCAAAAGAAAAATGATATCCCACGGGCTTGCGAGCCCATTTTCTTATCTTTTTCCGCATATTATTGTGTTTCATCTGGCGGAGAAAACTGAACATAGATCACGGTGAACACGATATTTTCCTCCTTCTTGTCTCGTCCTTCCTCTCTGGGGACGGCAAGAGACTGTTTCTTTTTATTTCTTTTTTTTTTGGAAATGAGGGTGATTTTTTTTACTTGGAAGCGCAGCAACACATAGAATAGCTAGTACTTTGGTTGAGGATGGTCCTCCGGCTTACATTCATTCCTCGAAATAAATGACATTTTATATGACTTGACCTTGGCCCGCAATCCTGTATGACCATCGTCATCGCGTCTGCAGAAGCGGGCTGCTACATCCACTGTCGACGTAACAAGGCTGTGAATTTATAATCAATCTTCTTTCCAACTAGTGTTTTGCCTCGACGGCGTGTCTGACCTTTCCGGGGGAATATATGATGATAAACAATGAAAACTCCGTCAAACTCCTGTTTCCTGAAAGAACAGAAGGAGAAAAAAAAAAGGATAAGTCTGGGGTGCCTTTAAATAAGGGGTCGTTGCCGGAATCCTCCGTGTTTCATTTGCCAAAACACGAACAAGACCCGGGGGGCCTTCTACTCACTACATTCGTGCATTCATACAGCTGCTCAAAAGAAAGAAAAAAAAAAGACAAAAGGGAAAGTCCATCCAATAAACGCCCGGCCAATGCTCATGCGATTCCGTGTCCCCCATCTGCTCCCGTAACTTTTTTTTTTCTTTACTTATTATGTGTCGGAGCTGCTGTTATTAGAGCGTAATGCGAATAGCTTCCCTAACGTGGCCCTCGGTCGGGCAGTACGGGCACTTGCACCGCGAACCCTTGGCAATATTCTTAAGACTGTCGTTGCAGATGACGTGGCCGCAGGGCAGCAGCATGGGCGGGTTCCTCTCTGTGGTCTGCTCCTTACTGACGGGACAGACAAAGATGGGGTGGTAAATCATGGACGGCGGGAGGGGCGTCTCAAAGGCGAGCTCATTCTCCGTCGTCCACTCCGTCTTCTTCTCGCGCATGTACGTCGTGTACTTGATGAGGCGGGGCAGGGCTATGGCGCCGGCCGTGACGGCAACGTACAGTGGCGACTCAGCGGCGAGCCCGAGCAAGGAGCAAAACTCGCGGGTGAAGGACGTCGAGACGTCGTCAAACGCCGAATCAATGGCAAATATGCGGCGGTACGGCGACGCCTCGAGGTTGGAGGCATAGACCATGGCGCAGCACAGCTGCTGGATCTCGACAAGGTGCCGGGCCTGGAAGCGGCCAAAGTGCTGGCGGGCGTAGAGCAGCGCGCCTGCGTGGCCGTTGTGTGCGTCGTCGGGGAGCCCGTTGACGGCAGGACCCTTGAAGAGCCATACATACTGCAGCTTGCACAGCTCAAACTCGAGGTTGCTGCCCTTCGCCTCCAAGCGACCGTTGTTTTCATGCGCCCACCGAATGGCTGGCGAGAGGTTGCGGCCCCGCAGCTCGCTCAAGATACTATACATTTCGGCAAACTTTTGCTGCAAGCCGCTGTGCCGGCCGTCGAGCTGCGCCGTGAGACTCTCAAAAGCGTCGTCGTCGTTGTCGTCTTCCTCCTCCTCCTCATCATCCTCGTGAAAGTCGGGTTCGTCCATGTCGTCGTCACCGTCCGCGTCGACCTGCGACGGTGTGGGCGTCGGCCGTGAAAAGTGCCGTGTGTCGAGGGGGTTGTCGCGTGCTTCCTGCACAAAGTTCGAGGCTACGGAGAACTGGCCCTCTCGGAGGAGATGCATGGCAATAGCGCGGTTGATGAGTGCGGATTGGTCGTCCATGGCATCTGTTTCCATGGGCAGATCACGGTGTGGAAGGGCCTGCGAGGAGCGTCAGTTGGTAAGGCGGCGTCGGGAGCGTTGTCGGTCGGGCAGGTGCCTCATGGGGGTCATACCTTGTCCAAGGCCTTGCCAAAGCCTTTTTGGGCTTTATTGACATCTTTCAAATCTGTATTGATCGCTTCGAGACGAGATTTGACGGGATTTTGCAGCGTCGTCAAGGCCATCATTGTTCTGTGGCTGTCGTCCTCTGAAAATTCGTCAGTATTCGAGTCGGGGCCAGTGACATCACCCGGCACGTACCGGCAGCCACTTGATCGCGGGCGGCGCTTAATAGATCAATTATCTTGTCGACGTCGTCGATGGCGGCAGAGAGGTTCGACTTCCTCATCCTGGCCAGCTCCAGCAAGAGCGGCCCAAAGGGCGACGTGCTGTCGTCTGCCATGGCTGGCTATCTCGGGTGGCGGCGGGCGAAGAATAGATGACGGTAGAGGGGGGGAGGGAGAGTCGGCGGCCGTGGCTCCCTCAACGGGGGGTGTGGCCGATTGTTGAACGAGGTTTGAAATCCGGGCCGACGTCACAGCATGGCCTGGTACGTAGGTAGCTACTATTAGGCATGCAGTAGATGCTCGAGATGGAGGCACTGCGTGACGCAGCAGCAGCAGCAGCAGAATCGGGGCCCTGGGTGTGTCGACGACGCAACTGGGTCTGGCTTGCAGCTAATTTGGACCGAGTCGAAACACCTGCGCGAGGCTCCACCGCTAGTATGCAGCTAGCAGACAGGGCTTGACGAGGTTGTGAAGTGCTGGATTCCGATTCCCGCGTCAAGGCCATGTTTAGGATAAAAGATGCAGGGGGGGAAACGCGGCCATTTCAAGTCCAAGTTGTAGATCGCGACTGTGCATCAAAGCTTGCTTGTGCTCGATTCACCAGCTGTTGTGTGGTCACACAGCGTCTGAGTGGGAGTGCCTCTCTGTAACTCAGAACTCAGGAACTGCTAACCTAAGGGTTAACTGCCTGGGGGTACCTGTAATTCGTACCTAAGAGAGATTTATTCACCCACTTGTCGGTAGGGAGGTACCGAGGTGATCTCAGCATATACATTAAAGAGGAAGGAGTAAAGAATTTAGAAAGAGGAGGTTTTTAGGCTTTTTAATTATCACGGTATAGTTGAGTTGCTATTCTATTTATTCTTTAGTTCTGTATTTTATTTCATTTCGGCAATTTTGTAATTAAAATGAATTCTTATTTTACATGTAAACATCCTAGGTACCAAGTCTTACTTCCGGAGTAAATCCTTCCGTCCACCTGTACAGTACATAATAATTTGTACACCAAGACCAATGCCGGAACTGAGTTTCGCCCACCCTCACCAGCTGCCAATTACATCACATGCCACACCATCGCTCGGCTTGGTGTGACGCTCGCCCACCTCGACATCAAGCCTGCACCGTGGTCTCGCTGATTGTTTGCACCGCTCAAATATGTCGCTATAGCCCAGCTGTCTGCCTGTGAGGCTTCTCATACACCGCATGTCCTTCATGATGCCCATGCCAGCCGACAGTCGACACCAGCAGGAGCCTGCTGCGCCCGCGAGAACCGCCGAGCGTCGAACGTCTCGAGCCGCCGCGCGTGCTGGCCCAAACCCTTCTACAGATGCCCAGATACAGGACGCGGCGGCCCAAGCGCTGGCAACTGCCGTTATACCCAAGAGACATGTCATATTTCCTGATCCTGTAGCTTTCCGGTACGTGTGTTCAAACCCTTCACCCCCCGCTGGTAACATGGACAACCAATGCTGATTGGAGGCTCTTCTACTCCCAGCTTCCTCCAAAATGAGCCATACGTTTCTCTCGTCGAGCGCCAAACCTTCCTCTCCGGCTACGAGCTCTATCTAGTCGAGCAGTGGGCGTGTTCTCGAAAATCCCCGACTCTAGTAGTTGCCACGCATACCGGCGACGACAAAGATCGCATCTCTGCTGGCATTCTCGCTATACCCGAAGACAATATGCTCTGGTCTACCCGACTGCAGCTCTATTTCAAGGCTGCCAACCAGTACCATGCACGTCCCAAGGAGACTGGCATGGGCCAGCTGCTAGTCACAAACCTCAGCAACTTTCCTTCATCCTTGACTGTCATTCCGGTCCCCGACGGCGACATTCGAAGACATCGACAAACCTTCATCGTCAATGAAGACTTAAAACGCTTAGGATGTGCCGGTCGGTCAGGTCTCACATTGACGGAGCCCCCCGAAGCGACAAGATCGAAATTTCACCAGCTATACAAGACCTCCGAACGCATCCCGTTTATGCAGTCCGTGACGGAACTGGTCAAGCTCTGCCAAGTTGCGCTATACATGTTTGACAAGCTAGAGCCTGAATACATTGATGGTCTGCTCTGCGATATCACAGAAGCCGCCATTGGTGACTGGTGGACCGAGATCGGCGCCGAACATTACAACTATGAGCCCTCCGATGGCATTCTAGGTCCTTCGACTGTCTCTGCGCTGCTTGGTATGCTCATGGGTGCCAGAAACCGTCTGAGCTGTCAGGGTGCTCCAGTTTCAAAGGATGTTTTTGACATTGAAAGCACAAAACGAGGCATTTCATACTTTCAAAAAGCCCAAAAACTAGACAAGACCCGACGGTTGGATAGGCAAACTCTCTTTCGTCTCCATAATTCCACTGCCAAAGCTGCCGCCGGCGAAGGATGGGGTGTTCAGAAAGCTGTCAACTCTACTGTCACTGGAATTGGTGGTAAGCGGGGCGAAATTGTCATGGACATGGTGTCTGGCAAAGACAAGGGCGGTCTTGCCGACGTGGAAACTCTGGATCTAGACAGATTCATCAAACTGGCCTATGGGGAACAGTCCAAGTGGCTCTGGCACGGCAAGCAACGCAGGGCCCCATTAGGTTCGCGAGATTTGGATCATGAGCTCGGCGGTCTTTTGCTTGGGCGAGGCGACTTGTCAAACCATGCGTCCCGCACAGGAACTGCGTCACACCCGGATGATGAAGCCGTCTTCAGACGATCAGAAGATCTCCAGGCTGCGCCGCCAAGCAGAATAGGCACCGGTGCTACCTCCGACACCTTTGGCGATCGAGACGGTGGTCGCAGGGCTGTTTTCAAGAGTGTGGCAGGAAACGCCAAGTCTGGCCTCGGCCGCATCAAAGATGCCGTAGGAGGTACCCGAAGAGGGCACGGACGATGGCCATCAAGCGCTATCAGGGACGATTTGCCGGAGCATTTACAAACTTTGAACCTGAGCATGGAGAATGCGCGCGGCTCTGGCATCATGAGCGGCCCTGCCACTGTGGGTAGAGCTTTCACGTGGAAGGAAAAGCCCGAAGAATACCTGGCAGCACTTCGCCGCGGAGACCCAGATGCGCTTCGAGGATTGCAGGGCAACGTCTTGGAACCAGCCTCTGCAGACGCAGCAATTTCGCAAAGCAAGCTTCCGCGGGGGGACGTATCCAGAGCCCCTGACCTCGAGCGTCTTGAGACTATTGGTGCGGAAATCCGGGATGAGGTCTTGTCCCGTGCACCATCAGCGGTCCGCCCAGAAATTGTCGAAACTGACTTTGAAGGCCCACTCCTAGAATCTGAAAGGACAGGCGACCAAAAGTACCTGAGGTTGTGCCGTCGACATAGCTCTCCCAGCCACGCCACGGGGCCGAGTCATGCTCCAAACGAGAACCGCTATCCAAGACGGCTGTCATTTTCCGACGCAGAGGAAGCCATACTCGACTGGGTGGAAATCATGCCCATCAGTGATACAGCAGGTGACGACGCTGGCGCAGCGACCGCACAGATAGAGGTTCTCGCCCAGCTGGCCCGGCAAGTCGACCTCATGGTCAACAGCGTGGGGCCCTGGGTCGGCGAGAAGATCAAGCTCGTTGAGGCCCTCGACGAGCGGTACAGCAAGGATGCGGCGGAGCTACAGGCGCACTATCGCCAGCTCAGCGAGGCGTGCGAGCGCGTGCGCATGGACTCCGAGGGCATCGTGGCGGACGAGCGACAGAGCCTCGAGCTCAGCATCAAGGAGCTGGAGACAATGGTGGCGCAGCTCGAGTACGAGATCAACGCGCTCGTGTTCAAGGTGCACGAGGTCGAAGACGGCATCGTTCACTTTGAGCGGCAGGTGGTGGACGTAGAGAGCCGCGCCGAGGAGCTCAAGAGGCAGCTTGAGACGGAGAGCTGGCTGCACTGGTTCGTGAGGACCCTGACGGGTGTGGGCACGGGACCCAACATTACTCGCTCCTTGTAGGATTTAACACTATTTTTGTATCTGTTTACAGCTTAGATTGATTGACTGTCGCATTGCGTGGAGTATCGGAGTATATCTCTTCTTTTTTTTTTCTGCATTTACATCTGCAGGGGCCAAAGCAATAGACGGCCATTGTGTGGTTTGTGTAATAATTGTCAAATTAGATTTGCGTATTATATGTAATGGTATAAACTCTTCAAAGTTGAGATTTCTATCCGTTTTTGGTCCCTGAAAGTGTCTTGTAGCATCATGTGTGTCCCGGCATAAGTGCGCCGAATCGTTCTTTCTCCGTCATGTCGTCTTGATGCCAAAAAATCTTCATGATTCCCCGAGATTTTGGCTATTCTATTGTACAATGATGTGACAAAAGCTTCGTATCGTGTTTCCTCGTGCTCGCCGTATGCCCCAACCGACGTCGGCGGACGGAGCAGGGCAGGCCCAAGACGTGCGCCTCTTTTGGATACCGGCTCTAATTATCTTCGCGTCTTGGTTTAGAAGAGACCGCCAGCACCGGCGCCACCGCCGGCGCCGCCTTGCTGCCCGCCCTGCTGCTGCATGATCTCGCTGACCTTCATCGAGGTGTCGAGGAACTTGGCGGTGCAGCGGTCGAGGCACACGGACTCGCCCTTGTTGAGCTCGCCCTCGCGGTAGTCGGTCGGGATGCACTTTTTCTGGCACGACTTCTGAAGACTGCGTGGTGGTCGCTTGTTAGCCTACGCATTGCGCTTCGCTGTGGCTTCCCCCCCTCCCCTTGGATCGTCGACCGCATTCCACGTGCCATCTTATCGCAATTGCGCCCCCGGCCGCGAGCGCGTTTCGCATAGACGTTGATGGCAGTGGTGTAGCGATGCGACCCGCCGGGAACGGGCGTAGAGCCATCAATGCAGCGGTTGCTTACCGGTTGTAGGTGTCGGCCATCATGCGCATCTCGCCCTCGACGGCAGCAATCTTTTGCTCCGAGGTAGGTTGAGGGCGGCCCATTCCGAGGAACGACATCTTGTATGGCGTGTATATGTGGTTGGAAATGCGTGGGTGGGTTATGGGCAGTGCAGTGTCTTAAATGGTTCGCTGTCGTGATGTACTTGGCGATGGCGATGAGCTCTGCAAGCTTGATTTCTCCTTTGATGTCAAAATTTCCCGGAGCGCGTTTGATTACGTGAGGTGGTCTTATCGATACGGAATCCGTAGATGTAGGTACGTAAACGGATGTCACTACCCTGCACCACAACCAGCTGCTTTATAAACCATGAAGAAACTACAATCAGATAGTTTTTAGTTTGATCAGTGGATAGAATATGATATGTAGCATTCTGATTCTTTGGTTCCCCATCCCCACTCGATTAAACCATCGAGGCTTGTGGTTGGAAGGGGGAACGGTTACTAACCGCACCAATGAAAACGCTGGTGTAATACTGTCGACTGGTTCTCTCCCTCGACACGAAAGGTATTAACCTCACTTGCCTCAGTAGTGGTGCCAAGTCGACCACAAAGTTTCCAGTGTCTGCATATATTTATGGAAGCGGTGCTAATGGCCCAGGGTCGACGCTAGCTTCGTCGAAAAGGGTGCGTACATATTGCCTGAGTGATCATCAAAAAATAACGAGGCGTGTGACCAGTATGAGCAAAGTCCGGAACGCTGCACCCATGTTTGTGGCGGATGAGAGGCGCGATCATGCACAGAAGGTCACAACCCGAGACAAAGGAGCCCCATTTATTCGGTCTTTTGACCAGCGATGACTCCAAATGAGTGATGGTCTGGCAATCTGGTAGGTTGGAAATAGCCACGCGCGTGGAACAGATAGTTGCCCCCACTGAACTGGTTGGGCATAGGAGGGGCAACCTGTACCACGAGAGGCCGGGAGGAAACCCGTTTCGACGGCAGCTGGATTCTTGTGCTCACCACGCTCATGCATTCGTGTCTCTGCCTTCGCTTATCTGAGCAGTTGAACGGCAATTGATGTGCCTGACGAGTAGACCTGTCATAGGTAGAGCAGGTAGAGCTCCGTCACGACTCCTTTTGAAGCAGGGCTACATCTAGAAATGGCTGCGGGACAGTATTGGTGTTGATGCGGACGGGCTCTGAATGGAGTATCAACGATGAGAAAGCCGTTAGCAGGTTGAACTGGGCTTCTGCAGAAGCGGCAGCCAGCAGAATTGCTCACCGGTCTGGGTATGAGACGCTGGCGTTGTCAATAACTCGACTTGGTTCCTGGATTTGGTGGAGTGAAGGTGGTGGTGGTGGGCGACGGGCGTGAGATGGACGGTTCTCCCACCCACCACCTTTTCTGTACTAACGGCGAGCATGCCGCTTTATAGAAGAGCAGAAGAAGAGAAGTGAGCGGTCTTGTTTTGCACACAGAAATCTTCGCAGTAAAAGAAGAGAATTTACCGTCGACCTATTACAGATCGACACCCAAATTTCTAGGTACACAACTTGATTGTTTTCTCGCCCACTGGAACTACCAACCTTCTATTCAAGCGGGGCAGTATCACGTGAACGCGGAATATTGGAGTCTGGACAAGCTGCGCGCAAGGACAACCAGGGCGTTTGGGCCTCGCGAAGCTCTCGAGTATTGCATACAATGTCTCTTACAATCTCGCGAAGAAGATGGGGATCTAACTAGCAGTGGTACCTCCTCCACGTCATGGACAGCTGCTAATTAGTGCACTTTTTCACCTCCGGGAAAACGGAGGTACTAATTAGGACGTAGACGGGGAAAGGAGCGGTGCTTACACCTCCGTTTTGTCGTCCTTCGTTGGACCACCTTTTTACTGGCACATAATAACGGAGACAATAGCAGTGGGAGGGGCAACACCAGCTCCGTTTTCATAAGAGTTTGTGCATTTTGTTTCTTCGGGTGGAATATTAACGTTAGTTTTAGGTAGTTACACCTCAGGCTGGTGCCAGGCTCGGTTCAGTTGGCAAAGCGGCACCGCCCCGGGCCTAACGTAGTAACCCCGGCAAAGTGACAATTGACATGCTAGGTTGACCTAGGCGGCCTCTTGACAGGCGGACGAGCCTCTTTGGGGCTAGTCATGCTGGAGGTGGGAAAACGAGGCGGGCAGCGGCACCAAGCGGTGGGAGGATGAGGCGAGGGTGGTTGAGCGGGTGGTTGGGGCGGGATGCAGAGTGTGCAGCGTCGGAAGTGGTACTGGGGGGCTGCAGGAATATGGTGCGGTGAGGAAGGAGGCGAGAGCGGGAGCGGGCGAGGACGTGGCTAATGATAAGGAATTGAGTGCTGTGTAATTTGTAGTTTCTGGATGGTGTTGAGGAGGTGCATGCAAGTAGTTAGGTAGGTATTCCGTTGGAGATGGATGTTTATGTTTGGTCCGGATCAAAGTCAAATAATCCAGTAAGAAATAGTAAGAGGTAGGGCAGGGCAGAAGATTTCTGGCTGGCGTTTGGCAGCTGGCGGGGTAGCTGGCGAAAGAACTGACCAGCAGTTCTCGAGTGAGAGGTGTCTACCATCTCTCTGCGGGGGGTATTGAATACAAAGAGGGCAACTCCGCATTGATTGGGAGCTGGCCAACGAAATGCAGACAATTACATTTTGGGCCAGCATTGCAACATTGGCATTGACTGCGCAAATGTGCGCGCGTTGTAGCAGTCGTCTGTGGTTTCCCCCCCAAGCCACCACCCACTCTGGAGCCTGCAGCGCCCCTTCCCCGGCCCCCATGCCCCCCCCAAACCCACCTAAAAAGAAGACTTCTCCAGAGGTTCGGTGCCTCGTGGGCGCATTTGCCCAGCCAGCTGCAGTTTCGCCGGCACTCCAGCGCTGGTTACAGTGGATTCTAGCGCCTCTAGCGCATCCCGCTGCTTGCCTGCCCGTGTTCCAGCCAGGGATGGGAGCTGCACGTGACCGTGGACCAGCATTCCAGCCAATGGTATTGCACAAAATGGCACACGGACCCGCTTCTACTGTGGAGTTCTGGGACACACTGAACGCTGGTCAGTGGTCGATTAGTGTAACCAGGGACTTTTTTTTTCTTTGCCAATTTCGTTTTATCAGCCCTTGTTACAGGCAAAACCCGCCAGTACAACCATTAGCGATATTAGCGATACACGGCAGCCTTCTCAATTGCTAGTGGCAAGTCCAGCTCCAGCTCGTGGATTCACAACGGCCAGGCAAGTGCAAGAAAATATTGCCGTTGGCCACAAAGACGCAAGGCACCAGGAAAAAAAAAGAGAGGGCAACCAACCAAGCCAGCAAGCCAGCCAGCCAAGCCGCTGCCAAAACTAATCACACCTTGTTTGCGGTCCGCCTCGCTTGCCTTGTCATCCTAAACCACCAACCATCACCGCCTCCCCTCCCCCTCCGCAGTCGGCCCAAGTTCCTCCTCCTCCTTCCTCGTCAACAGCTTATATCTTCCCCGACCAGTGCGACCCGCCAACGCAGCTTCATTCGCTGCCCCGATTGCCCTCTTCTCAGCCTTGATTCATCCTGCCCGGCGCCGCATGGACGGGTCCTCTGTCACCCGCGGGGGATCCGCCGCCCAGAGCCCGACCAGCCCGGCCAGCTCCCGCCACGGCAATGGCGCCCACAAGCGAAAGCGAAGCATAGGCGTGCCCGCGCACCTCGAGAGCAGTCCAGGCAGCGGCAACGAGGACGACCACCCCGATAACGACAAGAAGCGGCAGCCAGGCGTCAAGCGAGCCTGTAACGAGTGTCGCCAGCAAAAGGTGAGTCAGCCCGCGTCCCTCCCCTCATCTCCTCTCCAAGACCCCAATCGCTGCTGGTACCCGTCCCCGGCCACCACCACCGCCTGCCCCCCCCGAATCGTCTCGCGGCCGTGCTTGCTAACCTGTGTCAATTGGATATAGCTCCGCTGCAATGTTGTACAAGATCCCTTCCAGAGCTGCTCTCGCTGCATCCGCCTCAAGCTCGACTGCAAGATCGAGTCCAACTTCAAGCGTGTAGGCAAGCGCTCCAAGCACGCCGAGATGGAAAAGGAAATCGACCGACTCCGACGAAACCTCAGTCACGCCCAAGCCCAAGGATACTCGATGGACGACGGCGAAGAAGTCGCCTCGCCTGCCACCACCACCCCCAACTACAGCCATACCCGCCATCCCTCTCTCATCTCGGACGAGGCCGTCAATTCTCTCCTCAACCTCAAGCGTGGAGGAGGTCCTTATGGCTTGCCGCACTACTCCCATGAGCTTGAGACCGTGCGCCTTACCGACGAGCACGTCACCCACCTCTTCAACGAGTTCTTCGCTTTCTACCACCCCTTCCTGCCATTCTTGAACCCGGCCCAGCCTCCGGATCAGTACTTTCAACAGCACCCACTCTTGTTTTGGTCCATTGTTGCTGTCGCCGCCCGCCGATTTAGTCCCGAAGGCTCGCCCGACTTGATCAAGAATTTATCCGACCCCTTGACTCGATTCTTATGGACAACCATCGGTGAAGTGCCCAGCAGTTACTATGTTGTCAAAGCGATGTGTTTGCTGTGCGCATGGCCACTGCCTACCAGTACCACGTCCTCTGATCCCACCCACATTCTGTGCGGTGTCATGATGAAGACAGCGACGGGCATTGGTCTGCATCGTCCGAACAACATCCAAGACTTTTCGCGAACGTCGGTTGAACTTAACAGGGAACAGCTGGCAGATCGCGTTACGACGTGGGCTGTTTGCAACATTGTCGCTCAAAACGTCGGGACAGGCTATGGCCAGCCCGCCTCGACCCTCTACGACTGGACATTGGCTTTGCGGCCGGGGGACGATGCCGCCTTTCGCTTGACCCCCGAACTCGAAGCCCGTTTACAGATTGAGCGATTCTGCGATAAGGTGTCCAAGGAGATGTATAGCAATGCAAGTGACCCCAGGGGAGTTGCTGGCGACGAGCATCGTGCCATGTTGATGCGCGTCTATCGTCGAGACTATGCAGAACTACATGCATCTGTCATGTCTCAGAGTCTTGGCCCCATTGTCGGCCTTCACTTGCGCGCAGCCGGACTGCACATGCGACTCGCTGGCTTCTTTGACTCGAGCAAAACGCCAGGCTACATGGATGACCTCGTGGGCCTCTGGCGCGCAACAACCAGCTTTCTCGATGAACTTCTGGAGGCTGACAAGGTAACGTCGCCGCGGGATAATTTCCACGGCACCTTCCTGCTCTACGCCACCAACTTCATCCAGCAGATGCTCGTTGCAGCTGCCTTTACAGTCCTCAAGCTCATGCGATCCTTCTTTGCTAAGACGATCGATTTTCACCGTGGCGGCACGCTATTCCATCTCTCGATTCGAGCCATCCGACAGACCAGCGTTGTGAACAATGATCTTCAATACCGCTTGGCGGAATTGATGATGCAAATGTGGAATGGCGCCCGCTTGGACATCAACAACCCCGCCTTCAACCGCGAGGATGAGACACCAATCCAGATGGACGATAGCTTGCAGCTCAAGGTTCGCTGCCGTCACAGCATGAGTCTTGTGTTCGACTCGGTCTGGCGATGGCGAGAGGAATACCAAGCAAACGGGCGCGGTACCTTGGAGGGCGGTAAGTTCTCAGGGCTCCAGGCTCAGCTAGGCGAGTTACTGTCCCTACCACATATTTGATAGCGTTAGCATGTTTAGCTAACCAATATCCTCTGCAGCCGCGATGAAGAACCCAACCAACCCAGATTCCGCCAACGAATCGTCGGCCGCGTCATCCCAGCTCGAGAGCACGCTCATAGCCATAGCCACGCCCACGCCTAATATGCTTCCTACGACGGCTGCGTTGACACCAGGCGCCACGGGTCTTTCGGCGGCCACGCCAGTTACTTCTAACCCAATGATCGGCGGCGTCAACTATGGCGACGCCAACTTTGACTTTTTCGATCCTCAGCACTGGATGCTGGACGGCTTGTTAGATTTCAACTATTCGTATGCGCCTGCTCTCGAAGGTGCTTAGAATGCACAAGGCGAGAGACGCCCTCGCAGACGCACTTAGCGGATGAGGTGCTTCAACTGGATTACATTGTACCTTTTTTTATGTGTGTTTTTCTTGCTACTTTTGGGGATCCGGGTCTTGATGTTCTTTTATTGAGTTTGTCATTTGCTTTTGTTTTTGGAGTCTTGTTCTGTTTGGTTTGGTTTCTGAAGGTTTCACGGTCTCGCCAATATTGTCTACATCATGATCAACGACATGGTATATCCCTAATGGGGCGACTCACGGCGCTCACGACGATCGGTCTCAAAACGTACCGCATGCAAAAAGGAGGATGGTACTGGATGGAGAAGCGGTCTTTCCTATACGAAGCTATATTTCCGTGTTGATGAATAACACGATCCGACTACTTCAAAGCAGTGTTGCGGATCTGCTAGTTTGGCTTGTTTATCGTTAACCCCGTCTCTCGCCTCTTGTTGGTGTTTGGGCTGCTGCTGCTTACACAACCTTGTCGCATTGATATTGTTATACCCAATTACTTTGTACCCAGACTTCCTTTGACTTTTGCTGTGCCCGTCCATTGCAACACAAAGCTGCGGGGTTGAGCGGTGTGTAAGGTGTTACTAATCATGTTGTACTCGTACACATGTGTTTATAGATGAGTCCATCTCGGCGAAGCTCACTTCTTGGTTCATCCTGGAAATACTTGTAGTTGTATGCTATATGAAATACCTCCATGTATTTCACCTGCTGCTAATTTTTTCGTAGTGTGGATGTTCTATTGTGTCCTGAATGGTTTGCTCCATCTGGCGCATATACATGTGGACAGGGCTGTTTTTCGCGGGCAAGGGCCAGGACTCAAGCCGTGGGTATGAATGATTAGAGACTATATACGTTCGGTAACTCGTCGCTATTGACTGGCCGACGGCAGGCCGCGTCACCGGAAACTTGCTCTTACGCAGTGCGGTCTTAACAGTTTCCAGGAACAGACATGGGGCCTCTATGACTAGCCAAGATCTGCGAGTTATAAAACGTAAAAAGGGCCACATCTGCAAGGCCGTTTGTGCAGTGTACATGCGCCCATACGGTGTGTATCTTGTACATGCCCTGACTGTAGGGAACGAGGGCTCATGGCAGAGCGCACACCCCCAAGTGTCTCTCGTGTGTGTTTGAAGTCCAACGCTGTACAACGTGCTCGGGGAAATGTGTGATGTTGCGTGACATTGACGGGGACTCGGAAACGGACAAAGCCAAAGACTGGTGTTGCACAAGGACGTTCAGAAACACGTCAGTCACACCGCCAAAAGGATATGTGCATAATCTAGAGACAGGCTTGGGATACAAGCTGTCAAGCTTACTGGAGGTACTCTGCATGAGGGATAGAATGGGACGTAAGGAAAGCTGGAGAGTGAGAAAAGAGACGAAAAAGAGACGAAAAAAAAAGACAAAGAGTTGCAAGCTAATGGTGGATTTCATCAGCTACACAAGGTATTAACTAGCTACGCCCCAAGGTCTTGTGTGTTTGCGCTCACTGGAGCTTAATGCGAGTAAATATAGATTAGCGTCGGTCAGTTTGCAATACCTTTCTCTATACTACTTGAAAATGTATAATGCTAACAAACAGGCATGCCATAGTCAGGCATCTGGTTGGCTGGTTGCATGGCAGGTCGCACAGAGTGAGTCGCTCGGCGGCAAGGCGCAAGAACAACGCATCGCCAGCCACAACCGTGGAGACAGACCGCTTTTTTTCCTAAGAATAAATTGTGACCGTTTTTACACTTGCATCTCTTGCATCTAGACTACAAATCATATGCACAAAGTAGTTACTCGGGTTTCCTGCCTGGAGCTGGAGGCGAGCCCCCGTGGGTCCGCTTTCGACAAGGTCGCCCGCAGAGGCCGAGAGTCACAGGATAAAATGCAAATGAGCAACAGGGAAAACAGCCGAGAACTCAAGGGCCATCTCCCTGGATCGCATGTACAACGACGGTTCTCGGCCCCGGGATTAAAGTTGACGGCGTATGTCCTTGCGCTTTGTTTGCCCTTGGCAAGGGAAAGACGGGCTGGGGGAGCGGAAGAAACGGAGGGGTGAGGAGCAACGGTGGCGGTGGAAGACGAGTTACACGAGACTGCGGTGCCAGCTTGGCCCAGGGTGTGACGCAAGCTTCCGTAACATTTGTTTTTGCCCTCTTCTTCCTCTTGCCCCCCCCCTTTGACTGTGACCCTGCATTGAGGGAGCGAGCTCGGTTACGGGTGAGTTGCCTGCCCAGACGGGTTGCCCAGACGGGCTACCCTTTGGGCTGAAGCCTCCATCAAATTGGGCAGGTCTGAAACGCAGCTCTCTGCAACAAGACCTGGGAATGGCAACTTGTCGAGACAGCTCGCGGGGTTGGCGCACACCACGTGCAGACGTGCGTTGCCTGCCTGACCTGGCCAAGCATCCTGGATGGGATATGATAAAAAAATGACATCACATACAGTTTCTGCTTGAAAAGAGAGAACGCATATGGAAAGAGGTGCCTCTACTTTGACTGGCTCGGGGAAAGCCTTCCAGCAACCCTGTCAAACGTCAAGACCACTTTCAATGCTAACAAATGGGCTGTCTCTTCTCACACCGGTCCGCCCCCAACAGCCCCAAAAGTCTGCCTTACACCACTCGATGCAACATGAATATATTGATGATTTCAGAGTCAAGTGATTTCTACCGCAAGCCCCATCATGGCTGCCCAGCCGGGTCGCATCGCGGGTTCCACGCGGTCCCGAAAAGCGGCCACATAGGGCATCTAAGAGAGACGTCTGCCTTGTGCTCAACCTCGCCAGTTTCACGATTTCGATAATGCAGGCACAGCTCTCTGAATCAAAGTCAGATCCTTCCGTCCCCAATCCACATTGCCAGAGAATTGACCTTGTCTCAAGCGCCGGCCGTCGCGCTGCACACTTGACTGTCAGCCCGGCCCGGCCCCATGGCCAGAAGCCGAGCAAGGACGACGCAGCAGGATAGTAGAGAGAGTATCTATTTTCGGTAGCACAGACAGGGGCTTCACTCGAGCTGGGCTTCGAAGACAGCAGCTCGCCCTAGCTGGTCCCAGGGCGTTCGATAGGGTCGGGGAGAGCTCGTCCACCCAATGGGGACGGCCAACGCGGCTTCCGTCGAGAATCATCGTTCCATTTCAACTGTTACCTTGCAAAAGGAACTTTAGGACCGCCAAGGAGGGGCGTGTGCAGTATGCTGTGGAGGCTTGTGGCTTTTTCTTGTGCAACCAACACCAAGCCGCCTTTCATCACGGGGAATGAGAGGGGGTCTCTGGAGCCTAATTCACTCATAAAGATATCGGAGGCAAAAAGAGTGTATCCTGCATGGGCCAAATCCTCTGTAAAGTCTGCCGGCGTTTCTAGGTATGCCTGCCGGCGTGGGCTGTGCCGGGACTTGGCCAGTCGCCGAGGGGGCGAAGGAGGCTCGTGGCCTAGTGGGAACAGATCGCCTCGGTAGTTACTTATACTGTGACGGACTTGATAACTGACAGCCACAGTAGCACAAGATAGTTTCTCGCTCTGCTGAGGTCTGGATTCCGAGGCGCTTGGGCCGTTGGCGGCGAGCTGCGGTCATGGAAGCTAAGCTTGGTGGCGAGATCCTGACAGGGAGCAGGTCGCCCCTAGCACGCCAGGATATACGATATACTCCGTACGCTACGATTTTCTTCTTAGAAATAAGAGCACACTGAAGATGCGGGTGATAAACCCGGTAGTGTTGCCTGATGCTGGGCGCCACTCCTTTGAAGCCAGGAGACTCTACACCACCCTACAATTTGCCACAAGCACGGCTGGGGCATTCTACAAAACCGCCGTCGCACTACCATAATTCACGCCATGCGTTCATGCGACTTTGGTCTACGTGTGATATGAATGTGACGAGAAAAAGCACTCTATGAACGGCAAGAGAAAGTGTGCCGGTGGCTGCGGTAGCCACCGACAGCCAGAAGGCAACCAGAACAAAGTCTCTCTGTGGCAGGATAACTCTGGTATAGAGACCCAATTTAGTAATCGGTCCGGTCTCTAACAGAGAAGGGCCAGCGCTCTACGGAGTGCCTCGCCCTTCCAAGGACTCCAAGAGCGGGGAGATGCACTTTGCTTCCCCTCTTTGCAAAGTGGCGCAAGGTGCTTGAAATTACGGAATGAAGCACCTATCCTCGCTAAGGAGGAGCCTTTACGGCAACCCGTTCACAGAAACGGCCGCCAATGTTGACTCGGGAAACAGCAGCGTCCGCTCGCATTGGCAGGCAGCGTGGGATAGCGCTGGCGGTAGAGACGTAGACAACTCCGGAGAGACATGCCCACATTCCTTGGGAAGCATCATGATTTGGTGGCGTAACAGTGCCCTCGAGAAGCACCCACAAAGGCTGGAGGAGGCGATCCGAATGTCTCTGCTGGAAGTGATCACCCGTGGTGGGCGGTTACGCCGGGGGGGGACGCCACGGCACGAGCACACACGGATCAGAAGCCCGACCATCGAGGCTAGCAAGCTTTCTCTCACCGGGACAATGACTATCAGAGGGCGGATCTTGTACCCAACCGAAACAAGTTTTTGGGGGAGTGGCTCGAAGGAGCGCCACAAAGACTGGCCAACAGCAACCAGGCTCTCCGTGGATACTGGCAGACGGCATTGACCAAGGGCGGCGAGCGACAAGATGGGCGGCATCATGCCCGCGTCCAAGTGACATGATTCCTTCTCATAAGCGCTTCCCGTTGACGAGCGCATGTACATGCACTCTGCAATACTACTGTGACGGGGCGCGCCGAGCCGGTGGAAGCGCGAACCGTGTTGGGTCAAGTCTCGCGTTCTTGTCGCTCGCGGAAGCAGGGCGGCTCCGCGAGCAACGAGGACAGCACAGTATTTGTCCTCTGATCTGCAGTGCGCGTTATTCTGGGCGGCTGCGAAGGAACAAGGGGGGGCGTGATGCAACATTGCTCCAGTCCACGTCCGTGAGCCGGGCGCTTAAAAGCGAGAAGGGCCAATGCAACTCGAGAAG